TTTCTTTCTAGTTGATCATGGTCGATCTTGTCTTCTTTCCTTTTGAGTTCTGCATTTTTCCTTTGCATCCTCCTTTTTTGGCCGCATGCTTTGGATCCTGGTCGGGCTGATCATATTTTTCTTCATAAAAGCATGCCTTATTCTCAAAGGATGTAGCGACCTCCATGTCTTCAGCCACCACTGGTTCATTTTTTCTTTCTAGTTGATCATGGTCGATCTTGTCTTCTTTCCTTTTGAGTTCTGCATTTTTCCTTTGCATCCTCCTTTTTTGGGTACGTGTAGGAGGTTGCTTAGGAAACTTTGGGTGACTTACTCGAGTCCATCTGCTATGGTCAACCAAAGGAGGTCTAACCGTTCTTACACGGCCAGATTCTTCTCCTTTTTGAACCCATATTTCTGACTGAATTGTTGGTTTCCTTTTGAAACTAGGATAAAAATGTTGTTCTGGCAGGACTCTATCGGCCACCGATGACCGAATGATTCTCACTACCCTCGGCCCATTTTCTCTAAATATTGATCGATTGATTTCTTCGTGATTCTGTCTAGGCTGATGGCCTAACCTTTCATGGACACTGCGCTTTCTGGTTGATTGGAAATAGCCCCTCTTGTCTGAGTCATTCCTTCGGCCTTTGCAATTTGGACAACAACTATGGTTGATGAGGGCAATTTAAGTTTCTCTTAACTGAATTTCCAAGTCCTTAACTTTCTGCTCATCATTACTGGCCGATAAACTACCAAGAACTTTTGGTAATCTTTCCTGTCTACCATTATCAGCGGCTTTTTCAGTTGCCAGGCTGATTACATTGGTACTGACAATATTAAGAAATGGATCGCCATCGACCCCCATTACATCTGGCTTCTTTTCAGGGAATTTCAATACACCTTCATCGATACATTTCTGCAATACATTTCTAAATACATAACAATTGTTAGTAGTATGATTCCATGAATTATGAAATTTGCAGAACTTTCTTCCTTTTAACTCATTGGTCGATGGTATATTGTGTCCTTTTGGCAAAACGATTTGTTTGTCGGCCAACAAATGATCAAAAATTTGTTCTGTTTTGGCCAGATCAAACGTATAAACCTTACCAGTATCAGCCGTACCCTTCCTGGCCGATGAAGTCGATGGCTGAGTACCACTGGTGGATACATTTGGTTTTGTTAAAGCGTCACATACATAAGGCTTCTTTAGAATGACTTCAGCTAAATTAGCTTCAAAATTTTCCTCTTCAACCACATCGGTTGAATAAACTTCATAGTTGGGGTCCCTATAGTACGTACCTTTAGAGGAATTTTTTCGTTCTTTCTCCTCTTTGAGAACCAACTCATACCTGGTAGCTTTCTCAGCCAGGTCATACATGTCACGAAATGGAACTCCTTCAAACCTCATCCGAAGTTCAAAATCAAGGCCGTTCAAAGCCAAACGAATGTACTCCTGTTCTGGAAGAGGTACACGACATCTTAATCTTGCTCTCCTGAATCTTGCAATGAATGTCTCGACCGATTCACTAGGCAATTGACTTAGCCCGGATAAATCGACCAGAGTAGGTTCTGTCTCCGTACGGTAGAACTGATTGTGGAATAATTCCTCCATCTGTGGCCAATTAAAAACAGAGTTAGGAGGTAGACGAATATACCATGAAAAAGCTGCCCCTGTCAAAGAGTTAGGAAAAAGTCTCAATTTCAACCACGGGCTAACACTGGCCTCTCCACATTGAACCGTGAATCGGCCAATATGTTCCACGGTCGATTAATTCCCCTCTCCACTAAAGGTTACAAAGTCAGGGACTTTATATCCTCTAGGGAACTCAACTTGGTTTACCACTTCTGGATAAGGAATTCTATAAATTGGTCGCCCGGCACCTCTAAGTTCCAGGCCATATTCTTCTGTGAGTAAATCAGCTAATTGTCTTCTATCTAACATGACTTGAGGTGGTTGATTTAATATTGGTGGTACCTGATTAAAAACTGGCGGCTGATTAGCCGCTGGTTGATAGCAATTCGGCCAATCATGTGGCTGATTAGCCATATTCTGCCCCCCGAGCCTTACCTGTGGCGGCACATGAGTATACAGTGGGTTCGGTGGCCTCCACCTGATCTGATTGCCCCCCGAGTTCAAAGGCATCCGAGGAGGGTTTGGTAGAATTACCTGTGGCTGCGACCCTGCTACTGGTGGCTGATTAGAACCTGCCAACGTAGGCTGAGGATTGATTTCTGCCCAGGTGAGTAGCGTATGAACCGGCTGACTTGATGTTGCACCTAGTTGGAGTGTCACTACTGGCGGCCATGGCTGTGATGTTTCAATGGCCCTCTCTGGCCGAGCAGCTTGTGATAGATTCGGCTGAGAAGTCGATTCCTGATTGTTGGAGCTGCTAGCTTGAGTCGGCTTGTTCAAAATAAAGGCTGAGAGTTGGGACATATTTTCATGCAAGTCGTTGTAGTGTGCTCCCATCCTTCCCATTGCATCTACCAAGGAGCTAACCTGTGCTTGAAGTACGGCTAACTCATCAGTAGGACCTGCTGCAGAGTTCTTAGCCTGTACTGGCTGATCGCCTTCCTCCAAATCTTCATCAGTAGCCACGGCCTTAGAATTTTTTGTGGGCCGCGGCATATTTGCCTCTTCTATAATACTCTAGTAGTGGTCCCACCGGGCGTGCCAAAACGTGTTCGCGCGGTTTTTGTTCCCTACGCCGGTCGATGGACTCTTCGCGGGCGTGCCAGAGTATTTGTACAAAATACCCAAAATATGTAATTGAACACCAGCCTATCCCTTTTTTCGATGGCTGACTCTCAGGCGATTGTGTGGGAGAGAGACTAGTAAGAACTCCCAGCAAGGTTCTTTTATGCCTTGTTTGTAGCAAGGACTTTTTAGAGTGTCTAAAGAAATGCAACGGCTGATGAATGTTTGAATGGATGGAATGGCCGAGTGAAGACAGGCGGCAAGAACTTAATCGATCGCCGGCCGAACGTGATGGCGAGAACTTAATCAATCGCCATCAGCCAAACACAATGGCAAAAATTTAATCGATCGCCATCAGCCAAACACAATGGCAAGAATTTAATCGATCGCCACTGAAACGTGATAGCAAGAATTTAATCAATTGCCATCAGCCAAGTAATGACAAGAATTTAATCAATTGTCACTACGATTCAATGGCAAGAATTTAATCAATTGCCATTGAATTGAAAGCCTAACTAAAATTGCGTAATTAAAATTGGCATAATTGAAATTTAAAGAAAGTAAATGGCTGAATCGAAATAGTTGACGAGGATCTAATCAATTGCCATTAAATTGAAATAAAGAAATTGATAGGAAAATGACGTAGAGTCAATTGAAAACATTTTTAGTTGAAATGCATGTTTTGTGGTGGTGCTGGACGAATTGAAAATGGAATACAATACTTCTATTTATAGAAGTTCTATCTCAACTTATTTTCCTAATTAATTGCTAGAAAATCTCTTTGCTCCTTGATTTTCTTCACTTTATTACTTAAACTAAACCATGTTCCAGTAGTCTTTTGCGTCTCTTCTCTTCTTGCTTCAATAGGAAAGTCCTTGCTGAAATCTCTCATTGATCCAGTCAAATGCAAGTTGTCGAGAAATATGTTGAAAAGTTGTTGGAAAGTTGCTAACTTTTAGCAACTCCTTTCCTTAAGTTAGGCTGAAAAACTTCCCTTAAATGGCTGGAAGACCATTTATAACTTTTGCCCAAATTATCTCTCACGTGACGGCCTCTCCTTTGAATTCCTTATTCCTTTGCAACGAAATTCCTATTTCATAGGAATCTCATTCCAACTAAATCTCTTCTATCCAAACTGAAATAATATATTTGAATTAACTCAAATATTAATTACCAAATTTCAGCAATAATTACCAAATTTCAGCAACAACCTTATTGGATAAGGTGGCTAAATTCTTAGATTTTCTCCTCTTGTTTCTCAATTGGCCGACTTTTCTTGAAACCATACTAAACAAGTGTCGGCCCATCGCTGGTCCACGTCACCACTGAGGTGGCTGCTAAGTTTTGGTGTCAACAATTTGATACGTGAAGGAATGGAACGCCATATTTAGATTTTTGTTTGATCGTGAAAATTTACTTTTATCTCGATGACAAGTTTTCTCTCACATGGAAGGACCTCAGCAGCAAAAATGGAAGATGACTTTCTTCAAATAGATGAAGATACTAAGAAGACTAGACTGAAATTGCGTTGATTTAAGTCATTTAGTTTAGTAGTAAGTTTAATGTTTGCCTTAAACTTTATTAGGGTTATTTTTGTCATTCTACTTCTATTTAATGAGTCACGTGCCCATTAAGTGAATTATGTGACCATTTAATGATTGTGTGACCATTTAATGGTTGTTTTGCTAATTTTAACATTATTTTGGTGGACAGAATAGTCTCTGTTCGCTTGTAAAAGGATTGCTCCAACTTATATTCATTTTTGAGATATTATCAATACATTCAACATGCTACTGCGCCTTTCTATCACTTTATTTCTTTAGAAATTGAGTTGTGAGTATTTAAATTATTCTTCATAACTTATAGGCTCTTTAACAACTTCTTCTTCTTCTTCCATTTTTTTTTTTTTTTTTTTTTTTTTTTTGTAACTTTTTATTGTTGTGTTATAATTGTACAAAATTAAGGGGCATGTATTGTCTTTCTAAAAAGTTATTAAATTATATTTTTAAATTTTGAATATTCAAGTTTGAAATTTAAAACTCAAAGAATATATATAAAAAGATGTAAAATATATTATTTAAAAAAAAATAAAATGAACAATTATTTTGAAACGAACAAAAAATAAAAAATAATGGCATGACACTTATGGAGAAGACTACATAGTACATGGGAGTATAAAATTCAAAATTGTTATTTACCGGGCTTAGCCTGGACCGTTGGCTTACTTTTCTAAGCCCACGGGACCAGCAAAGACGGTCATAAAATATAGACGCTCCTCTTTACTTTTTGCCCCCACAGCACGAATCTTACCTTTATTTTCTCACTTTCTCACCTCAGAAAAGAAAAAGAGAGAATTTCAATTTTGCATTTTCTTTTTATTCGCCTTTCCGTCCAAAACTTTAAAACCCCAATTTTATTCTAGATTATACAGTATATCTTTTTGTATCCAGTTTTATAAACTCATATCTTTCTTCTTAGAGTTGAAGTCCGTTCATCGTTCAAAGACGCCAGTTATGTCGTTCACAATCAGAGGAGTATGCCTCTCTCTCTCTCTCTCTCTCTAAACATGCTATGATTAAATGGGTTTCTTTGTTTGTGTATCAGTTTCACATCCTATGGCTTTAATGTGTATTCTTATCTGTGTACTTTATATCTTTCCAGTTTCAACAAAATAAGTGAATTCACTAAGCTTAAGAAATGAATTCTTTTATATAATTAAAACGGTTAATCTGAATTGGGTTAAGAAGTGGATTCTTTTATATAATTAAAAGGGTTAATCTGAATTGTTAACTAGGAAAAATAAAAACCCTTATGGTATTTGTAATTTTTTTCTTTTATAATTTAAGCTGGAGATTCATTTGAAATTTGAGGATGCATGCCATTTTATCTGATGTAATTTAGTTCATATGGTAGACCTTAGTGGTTTGATTGTGTTGGATTTTGATCACTCCTGGACTTCTGTATATGTCATATAAACACTTGTATTGTCACTTATTGCTGATATGAATATATGAAATTTACTAATTCTTGTATTGAAAGCAGAAGAAATTTGATAAAAATCATTAAGTTCCAAATTTGTACTGATAAATGTTTTCTTACATCTTTGATAACCAGATTCAACCCTCCTCCATTAATTTTTTATTTATTTATTTATTTAAAAAATATCCTTTTTTGGATAGCGGAAGTTTGCTTTATTTTCTTTTGATTTTATGCTTCTTCTTTTTTTCTTTTTTTTTTGTAGTTTTGGATCTGAATAAATGGAAGCTTTGTTGTGTTTGTGGAAGGTTTTGGTACTTCACTTTTTTCTTTTCTTTTTTATCTTTGTTCTTAAAATCTGTTTTCACTAGATTAGATAGGTGTAATGGAAAGTTTGACAAGAATTTATTTTAATATGCCTGTATCTAATTTATAATTATTTATTAAGAATTACTTGGTTTATGAAAAAAGGACTTTGAAAGCTTTCAAACTTTTCTTCTCCCAATTTGATAATTTTAACTTTTCCATTTTTCTGAATTTTTATGTTGTCCCTGTTTCTTCTTCCAGCCAAATGCTTCTTCTGGCTTGGGTGTGGCGGATCACAGCAAAAGCACATTTTTGGAACTAAAGAGGAAGAAGGTTCATCGTTATGTGATCTTTAAGATTGATGAGAAGAAAAAGGAGGTGGTTGTCGAGAAAACTGGTGGACCGGCTGAGAGTTATGATGATTTTACTGCCGCATTGCCCGAGAATGATTGCCGATATGCAGTCTATGACTTCGATTTTGTGACTTCTGAAAACTGTCAAAAGAGCAAGATATTCTTCATTGCATGGTTAGCTTTCTTCTCTGATTGATGTTATCACCACTAGTTTGTGATACTTTTAAATTTGCTTGTCATTTGGATGGATGGATTATATGATTCTTTTTTATTTGATGCACTATGTCACACGTTCTACATACTTAGTCCATACTCAGTTCTAGAGTTAGTTATAATTCGATTTTAGCATGATCATGCAATTTTATTTCCAAGGATTCTATATATTTCCATGAACAGAGTGAGGTAATTTTTGCCTTTGTACATGATCTGAATATCAAATCCTTTTGTTCCTTCCTATATTTTTTCGGTAAGTTTGTTCCTTCCTATATTGTTTAAACTTAGGGAACACTGTTGTGATTTGATGGGAATGTTTGGTTTAATTTTCTAAAAACAGTTTTCTGTTTTCTGAGAACTGAAAAAAACTTGTTTGGTTGTCAGTTTTCTGAAAATTGTTTCATGAAAAATCTGTTAAAAAATTATATGTTTTCAAATAAGACTATTTTATAAATCTCTGAAAAAGTTCTCTGTTTTCTGAGTTTTAAAATTTTGTTTTTAGAATACTGAACCAAACAGCCCTATTATCTTTCTTGCTATTTACTAGATGCATGTCTATACATTTTTTTCCCATAACTTTATTTTTTGTGATTATACATTGCTATTATGATCATGTCCTATGGAGGAAGAAATTTACTTGAATTAAAGTTGAGGCATGGACTACGTCAATCTTTTTAAGGTGGTTCGCATGGGAGTGATTTTTCTTTGCAGTATATATTAGCATGTCATCCCAGGATGTTGCTTCAATTTCTCAAAGTCTGCACAGCTTTGAAAAACAAAAGCTTCACCCAACACTTTGAAGAAGAAGAAAAGAAAGTATTAACAAAATATGAATATAAAAATTCAAGGAACACAGAATGCACACATTTAGAACAAGAACTTATAGAGAATGGCTCAAGGATTAGATTATGGTCTGGTAAGGTGTGGAAGCCTCTATTTATAGCTTTTAAAGAGAAATAATTCTAGAATTTGAATTTGGAATTTTGTTATAATCTTTAAAAATTCTGATTAGATTTATATTAACACACACATAAGGCCAAGTTGTGTGCACTAAGTCAAGATGTGTAAAAGTTTATTTTTCCTTGTTTTATTAAAATAGTCTTTAAAGGTTCTTTAGTCTACTCTCCAATGTCATTTTATCTCAGTGCTGTTTTTTTTAATAAAAAAAAATAAAAAATAATAAAATAATAAAAATTCAGTGCTCGAAGGCCTATATAAGGCCAAGTTAAAAGTCTAGATATCTGAATCATATCAGAAGCTATGGATTATGACAGAAGTTTGTAATCCATGTTCGATTTGGTTGCTGATGAGAGATAAGGAACAAATAAGGATTCCCAAATTGTTTTATAGAAATCAAATGGCATACTTGTCTGAGCTTTTATTTGTTGGAGGAATGGTGTAGTGGACAAGGCCTTTTTCTATTGCATGACAAAAAAACATTTTCATTGATAATAAGATTATATTTTCTAGCCTTTGTCAATGGTGAGAAATAAAACTGTGATCCACTTTTCACTTGTGTACTTAAATTTCTTCTCCCATGACAATGCCATTTTTTCTCAACAGTTAACACTGGTTGAAGAATATCGAAGCATTTTATTATTCATGTCAAATGCATGATATTTATGTTGATCAGGTCTCCTGCAATCTCTCGAATTCGCGCCAAGATGCTGTATGCCACATCCAAAGAAAGATTTAGACGGGAGCTGGATGGTATTCATTACGAGATTCAGGCCACTGACCCTACCGAGATGGATCTTGAAGTGATCAGAGATCGCGCACGCTGAAGTCTGTGCAGTGTAAAGGTTTGTTCTGTACAAGTGATGAAAATGAAGTGTCAGGGTTCTGCCTGCTAAAGGATAATGCTTCTTGAAGCTTTCTGCAGAACTCATAACTGGCACAACAAGTATCAATTAAATAAGGGGCACGGTTTCATAATCATTTGCAGCTTCTCGATGGAATTTGTATACTCTCCAGCATATAATTATACATTTATACATATATATTTCGTGTCTGATAATTAATTGTTGTCCTATTTTATTTTGATTGTATGCTAATGCTTTTGAATAGAACAAAAGTAGGAGGCACCTTGAGTTTAGCATCAAAAAACTCTTTTCAGGCTTCTTAATGGCAATAAAGTTAATCCGTGTTTGCCTTCTTAAAGTATGTTGATTAGGAATCTGTGTTCATTTATATATATATATATATATAGAAATGATCTCCTGCACACCGGTCTCATCGGCCGCTGAAATGTGGTAAGTTAGTTTCTGAGAGATCATTTTTGTCTATATATATATATATATATATATTACATATGCTCCTCTTCAGCTGTTGGATTGACCAACAAACATCTGGCAGACAATCATTGATGCTTCTAAGTATGTATGAGCCAGAATTAATGGCTTCCACACATGAATGATTGACATTATAATTGTTAGTTTCAGATTATAGAATTAAATATCTCAATCCATATCTAATTGGACCTATCACGGATTTAAATTTAAAGGTCCCTAACAAACTCAGAAACACGATTGAATCTAAATTCGTCCGTCTAAAATCGACCAGAGTGAAATAAGTTTCTCCACCAATATCAGTTAACAAATCAAGAAATTAAGAAAGTGAGAATAGAATCTACATGAACCATGTGACCATTCACATGATTCTCAGAACAGGTACCATATCTATCACAGCAGCCAACAAGGTGGAGGCCCGGCCGATCCTACTCCTCTTCAGCCCCTCTCTCACCTGACATCTCTTCCAACGATTTCCCCTTTGATTCAGGCACCAAGAAAGTAAACAATGTGCCCAAAAAGTTTACCACACCCAAGACAATGAGCGAGTTCTTCACCCCGATGCCAGCCGGATACCCTGCATCTGCCTTGGCCTTGTCCTGGTTCTGAGCCAGATACAAGAACCCAAAGGCACCCACTATTGCCCCTAACTTCCCTGCTGCAGCCGATATGCCATGGCATGTTGACCGGAACCTAGCTGGGAATATCTCAGCCGGCACAACAAATGTGGTGGCATTCGGACCGAAATTAGCAAAGAAGAAAGTCAATGAGTACATCACTACAAATCCAATTCGATGGTCCTTGTGAGTCCAATAGTTGTAAGGAATGGCCAGTGCAAACATGAACACTGTCATCATGGAGAAACCCATCAACTGAATGGCAAATCTTCCCATCCTATCAATCAGAGCCACCGTGAACCAGTAGCCTGGGACAGTACTGCACAGAGCAATAAGAGTTTGCGCCCTTGCTATTTTAAAAACCTCCTGTACGGCATTCATAGTCTTTGCAGGAGGAATCCATCCGATAGCACTAAAAATGTCCTTTTGGAACAGATTTTGGCTGTAAAATGCAATGTCCAGCAAGAACCATGTGCTTGTTGTACCAAGCAAGTGAAGGCCGTGGCGATGAAGAAACTCTTTGGATAACAAACCATATGAATTGGCTGGCTTCTCAGCTATCTTCTCTACCTTTTGCTGATCAGCCTCAATGTCAACCTGCAAAACCTTTGACATGTCTGCTGCAGCCTTTTCTGCATTATTGGCGACAAGTGCTGTATAACGAGCAGTTTCTGGCATCTTCATCCGCCAATAGTACGTGAGCAAAGCCGGAAGTGCTCCAACCATTACAATTATCCTCCAAAGATAATCTGCTTGTGGAACAGTTGAGCCTTTAGGATCAACTTCATATGCTGGAGCTTTGAAACTCGCATCAAATGCAGCCGAGGATATAATTGCAAATATGCCACCAGCCAAAATTCCAAAGCCTTGCATAGCAAACACAGCAGCGATGAAGGCACCACGAGTCTTCTTGTTAGCATATTCAGACATGATGGTGGCAGAAAGTGGGTAATCACCCCCAATGCCAAACCCAAGCCAGAAACGAAAGAAGCAAAGGGTGCTCATAACTGCTTTAGGATCACTGCTAAAGGAAAGGCCTGAAGCAATGGAGCAAATACACATGACCATGAGAGTCATGCCATAGACTCGTTTTCGTCCCATCTTATCACCGAGCCATCCAAAGAAAAGCTGTCCAGATAAAGTTCCACAGAATGCTACACCATTAACAGCAGCTGATACACTGGGAGGTAGAGAACCAGGCTTTGAAGAACCTTCAACGTGGTAGTATATGCGACCGAGCAACTTGGTGACGAGGGATATGCAGAAGAGATCATAAGCATCGGTGAAGAAGCCCATGCCAGCAATAATGACTGCAGTGAAATGATACCATTGTGTCTTTGCTGTGTCGAGTGTGCTAAGCACCTGTAATTGTTCCCCGGCCATGGTGTCAAAAGTTCACTTTCTATGCTTTCCCTCTCTCACCAACTTCCTTCTGGAGTTAATTCTGTATGAATTGAACCAGGGTGATAAGACCATTTACTCCAACAAAAATTATGAGAAATATGGACTCTGTAACTTTAGCTAGCTCAACTAAGTAGATCTACAAGTATCAACTACCCAGGATTTCCTCCTAATGAATGGTCAAAATACATTTTCAAAACAAGCCTTCCCCATGGTAAAATAGTTAGATCAATATACTTTGCATAGATTAAATCATAATCCCAACACTTTACCAATAGAGAAAACCAGAAAAATACAAACAGTGAGTTTGAGGGTTTATGTTATAAACAAAAGAGACAATTCCTAAAGTTAGGCCAGCCAATATAGGGTTTGAGAAGAGCCGAATGAGTAGAAACCTAACTTTTGGCGCGATTCTTTATTATTTCTACCAAAAAACATCATCATGAATTTGAACATGGGTGGTTCTAAAAAGATATAATAATTTATATTTATACAAAGACAAAACTAAAATGCAGTGATCATAATACCATATGTGTCTAAAATTTACACCAGAATATAAGGTATTAAGAAAGCACAGTATTTAGGCTATCCCAAGAAGTTGGGTATCATTCAACAGCTCAACCTACCCTTCCTTGCTTTCAAAGAGGGGTCCGGATAAGTAAGTAGACAAGTATTACAAAATGAACATATATAAAGAAAATGAGAGAAAATATTGAGTTCTGGACATCATAATGGTGTCATTGGACTGAAGTTGAATTCTTCAACTTTATTTCATATTGCATTGAAAAGCCAAATTCATCATGCACAGTGGAGGCATCATATAGTATTGGAGCCATCAATACAACTGATTATACTACTACAGTTCACTTCTAGCACTTTAGGGAAATTGACAAAGTTCGATATCGTCAACCCATGTTTATGACTGTCATTTTCTACAATGATCCACCAACAATCTATTTGTACATAAAAAAATATGTAGTTAAGGCAACTCAGTCTACATTTTTAAAATAAACAATTAAAAATTGCACTTTCACCATGAATTCATATTTAAAAACATATGCATATTGCATAGGCTAGCTTAAAGAATGAATTTGAGTTGGACACGAAAAATAAATGCAGGTACAACACAGAGACACACAACAAACATGTAGAAATGAATTCAAAAAGGATTCAAGATGGGGAAATAGTTACAGGGCTTTCTTTATTAATCAATCAAGTACCTATAGAAGCAAGCATGTAAATTCAAAAACTATCAACCATGTTCTAGTACCTATAGAAGCAAGCATGTCAATACTGGAGAAAGAAAATAAAATAAAATTAGCAATCCAATCTTAATTTGTACCCTAATTGTTGCAGATAACATCAATATATAATTTCGGATACAGCCGCAACGGAAATGAAACTTAAATCCAAAATCAAGAAAATGAATAATAGTTATAAAAACAAAAAAAAAAAAAAGAATTGAATTGCAAACAAACAGAAAAGAAAAAAGAAGGTGAAATTAAGATATTGAATGTTGAGGGAGGAAATAAGGTGAAATTATGATATTGAATGTTGAGGGAGGAAAGAAAAGGGTTTCATTAATTTCATACCACATTTATATACCCTTTTGTGTCGTTATCTGAGCGGAACAATCAAGTATTTAAACAATGATAATTGCCCAGAAAAGATCTAAAATGTCGCCATTGTAAAAGAACACCACCTTTGCAGCTTTGCATACAACAGGACAAGAACAGAATATATATATATAGTTCTATACACACACAATGTGTGTGTGTCAGTGTGTGTGTGTGTGTGTGTGTGTGTGTGTGTTGGGTTTCTGAAAGAACTATTGTAGAGATATTCAAGAATAATGAAGGTTTTTAGAAAATAAAGATTACAGAGAGAAGTTTGTGTCATCACTGACCTGTTTGTCTCTAGAGAGAGAGAGAGAGAGATGATGAAAACGAGGGGATTGTGGGGTTGAGATTTTATATGCCACGAGACCCCTATTTCTCCTCAAAAATTCGGAATCGCACTGGTATATTCCTAGACCAGTCGTCCTCACGACGCCGTTTCAACTCTCGCAAGTCACAGCACTCGCAACATTACTATATTTGCATTCTAAACGAGCCCACAAATTAAGGAGTATCCTAACTCCCAATATACATAAATTATATTCCATTTATAAATATAAATATATTTATTTATTTTGAAAAAATATATTTGTATTCTCAATCTAATGTCTGAGAATTTATGAAAATATTTACTCAATCTAGTCCATAAAATCAAAATGTTGTGATTAGTTATACGGATGCATCATAAATTTTTATATTTTGTATGTTGAAAAAAGTTTATGTAATTTATAACATTACTCACTCTTGTTCATGCAAAGTCCTACCAGGTTAACGTTAACCAAAAACAAATCCTAGCAGGCACAAAAAGCAGTGCTTTGATTGAAAAAAAAAAAAAAAAAAAAAAAAGGAAGAAGAGGGTGCACTCCTATTTGATTGTTATTGAGGCGGCCAGGAACCAAACCCGTCGCTTTGGCCGAGTGGTTAAGGCGTGTGCCTGCTAAGTACATGGGGTTTCCCCGCGAGAGTTCGAATCTCTCAGGCGACGGTATAATCAACATTTTGACGGCGGGAGAAAAATTTTTCTTTAACCAAGATAGTAAATGATATTTATTGGAGTTGCTGCACACTTATATGTCTTCTAATTTATTTTTTTCCTTTAACCAAATATTTGGATAGTAATTGATATTTATAAAAACTAATTAAAAATAGTCATTACTCATGTCACGAGAGGGCTACATTGATAGCCTTTTTAAAAATAAAAGTAAAAATTTTATGGGCAAGTTGTAATTGTTTTTTATAATGAATTTTACATTATGGCACAGTTGTAAAAGTAAAGATGGAAAATTGTAAAAATAAAAATCAAGTTTACACTATCGACGTTTACATTAATTAACGTTAAATGGTCCTTTATTGAAAATTATTTTTTAAATTTACTCACAATTTACCTTTTCTTGAACGAGTATGGGGCCGTATAAGGCGCCTGGCCGGGACGGATTTACTCCACTGTACTTTCAATCCAATTGAGAGGTTATTAAATTTGATATTTTACAAGGGTTTAATTCTTTTATTCAGGGCGGCTTGCTTCCAAAAAGTTTGAACTCCACCAATCTTGTTCTCATTCCTAAAATCAAACATCCTACAATGATGTCGCACTTTCGGCCAATTGCACTGTGTAATGTAGCCTACAAACTGTTTTCCAAAACTTTGGCTAACCGTTTCAAACCTCTTTTGCCTCTTCTGATCAATGAAGCCCAGAGTGTTTTTGTCCCTCACTGTATTATTCATGATAATATTGTGCTTGCTCAAGACCTTATGCATGTTCTTCAAACCAAAAAGTCTAGGGATTTAGGTTTCATGGCTCTCAAAGTGGATATGGCAAAGGCTTATGACAGAGTTAGTTGGTCCTTCATTGGTCTTTTCATGCAGCATCTAGGTTTTCAACAGCGGTGGATTAACATCATTTTAGAATACATTAGTTCCGTTTCCTACTCAGTGATGATTAATGGTGAAAGCGGGGATAGTTTTTCTCCTTTTAGGGGCCTTCGTCAAGGTGATCCTCTCTCCCTTTATCTTTTTTTGCTGTGTTCTAAAGGTCTTTCAATTTTGTTCCATGATTATGGCAGAAGAAAACAACTTCTTGGTTTAAAGATGGGCAGGGGTTATCCACTGATTTCTCATCTTATATTTGCTGAAGATGCGTTACTCTTTTGTAAAGTCATTGGTCCAGAGGTGAGATGTTTGAAATCCATTCTTGACAGGTATTCTGCCTTAACTGGTCAATTAATGAATCATGATAAATCTTGTTTATTTTTCTCCCTAAATACGGCTTCAGATAAAAAATCTTTGTGTACAACGATTTTGTGAATTTTTAACGCAGACTAGCAAAACAATTATCTTGGTCTTCCTTGTCTTTTGGGTCGATCCAAAGTAGCAGCAATGGGTTTTCTTTCTGACAGAATCTCCGCTAGAACGAAGTCTCTCAAGGGCCAGTTGTTGTCTAAGGCAGGCCAAGAGGTGATGTTGAAAGCAGTCCTCTCGACTCTTCATAATTATGCTATGCAATGCTTGCGGCTTCCCATGAAGAACTATGTTGATTTGACTAGTAAATTTCTAATTTTTTGGTAGAGCGGGGAAAAGAAATCGAACAAGATTAAATGGGTTCGCTGTGATAGCCTTTGTTCCTCCAAGATGGATGGAGGTTTGGGTTTCAAGAATATTGAAGCCTTCAATCTTACTCTCCTTACCAAAATGGCGTGGCGTATGGAATTAGGGGAAGACTCACTCCTTTTTTGATCTTTCAAGCAAAAATATTTCAAGAATTATGCGTTTATTGATGTTTCTCCCAAAGGCGTGTGGAGAAGTATTTTGTCATCAAAAGATGTCATTAAGAAATGTTTGAAATGGCGGATCGGCGACGGCTCGAAAATAAATTGTTAGACTAATAACTGGTTGCCCAATGTTTTTAACGCTTCTGTCACCTCCAATCCTCTAGGTATACCTTTTTCATCAGTGACTGATCTGATTATCCTCTCTTCACATAGTTGGAATACGTCTTTAGTTGGTCGTCATTTCAATAAGCGAGATCGCCGCCTTATTTTTCAAATTCTTATCACAATCAAAGGGCGTATGGATTGTATGGTCTGGGGAGCTTCAAAAGATGGGTCTTTTTTGATTAAGAGTGCTTATCACATTGCGCTCTTCATTTTGAACAAAAAGTCTGATGTTTTTTCACAAGTTGGCTATAGCTTTGACACTACCAAATCTATTATGTGGCGCAACATTTGGAAATTAAGGCTCACAGAAAAATTCTCTTTTTTCTTTGGCAAAGTCTTCATAAGCGTATCCCTGTTAATTTTTTGCTCTCCTTACGTAGCGAGTCTATGGTTCCTTCTTGCTTATTTTACGACAACCTAGCTGAAACAGTTGATCATGTTCATTGTACATGTCCTTTTGCTTCTATGGTCTAGAAGTTAAGTTCGTTGCGCTTGGATTTCGGGGGTTGTTACCCTTCTTTCTGGCCCAAGTGGTTGGTGGATCTTACCGAGAAATGGAATCAATCTGATTGTCCTTCGCAATGCCTTAGTCTTGTGGCTTTTATATGTTGGACCCTCTGGAAATGTAGAAATGATCTTCTTTTTAATCAAAGTCGATGGGACCCTTTAAAGGCGGTTCAAAAATGTAATACCCCTAATATTTAAAAGGATATAGTTAGAATTTAAATTAAATTTTCTTTGAATTTTGTTTTCATTTTTATTTAATTATTTGGATTTTGTGTTTTGTGAGAGTATTTGGCTATATGTTTAATTAGCATTGTTTTTGTGTTAAATTAATTGCTTATTTGTTTTAATTTAATTGGATGATTAATTGATATTTTAAAGTAATTGATTATTTGTTTTAATTTAATTGATTGATTAATTGGTTTTAACTGACGTGTGTTGTATATAGCTTATATGGTTTATAAATAAATTTAGGGTTTATGTGGTATAGCAGTCATATAATGAGTCATGGAAATTAGGATTAAGGTTTTAATGGAGCATATATATATATAAGTTGTAGGTCTGGCAAGGGTTTTTAAAAAAAAAAACAAACTATGTTCCCGTAACTAGAGAAAAAGAGAAACAGAGAGGCTGAGGGGTAAAACATGAAAGGAAAACTGGGGAAAGGCTTTCAGCAATGTAACTGAAGATCGTATCAAGGAGGAAGGAATGGTTTACTGTGAGATTGAACTGGAGCAGTGATTAGAGGAATGAACAGTCTTGGAGAAGCTCTGAAACTTAGAGACGACGATGAAGATTTCAAACCGGAATCTTAAGGCAAGTTTCAGTCTATTCCTCTTCTGTAAACTTGTGTTCTGTGCATCTTATATAGACTCCAGGAATGTAATTAAACTTTTAAAAATGGACTTTATGCATGCTAGATGTTTTCTGTAATCTGTTCTGCGTTTTTTTAAAGTTTAAACTTATTGTTGCATAAACTGTTCTGTTGTGAGTTTACTTTCTGTCGATTGATTTACACTGGAGTATGAGGGGTTCTAGGACTGTAAGAAACTTAAATAGAGTTCTAAAGATGCTACAAAGGTTTGGGGATAGGATGGGAAGCTTTGCCGGAAGCACAGAAGGCAACCGAACGAAGCAGAGATGAGTTTGGAGCAGAGGAGAAGGCTCAAAGTGAGAGAGAGAGAGGGCTCCAAATTGTGGGAGCCGTCTCCCCCTTCTTAGAGCCGGCTCCAAGGGGTTAGGGAGCCGGCTCTAGGTAGAATAGAGCCTGCTCTTTTATTTTAGAGCAGGTTTCCTTGGTTAAGACACGTTTGGATGCATTTTGAAGCTATTTGGGCACTGTTTGGGCTAAGTTTGAAATTCTAAATGGTTTTAGGGACTGGAATGAGAATTCTAAAAGTATTTTCAAGGGTTTTTAATTCCTCTAATTGTATATTTTGGTTCATAGGGCAAATGGAATAAACAGTGTAAAAATAAGCGACTTTGTACGCTGCTAACGGATAGGAAGGACTAGTGCGCAAAGTTTTGTTTTAAAAATTTAACGGACTATTGCATGTAATCTAAATATGATATTATGCTATATTAGAACTCATCATGAATAATTTATCCTAATATGCTAAGGGTTTTCACAATGTGGGAGTTTTAAGTAATGACGCACATTGTTAGCGATTGTAAAGTATCTAGTTGTGTAAATTTAATTTAGCAACTTAGATGACTGGAGGATGGTTCTAAAATCTATGTTAGATACAGAATAGGGTCATGTATTTATTAGACTTTATTTGTGCATAGGTTGGATTTAATTAAAGAACTAATAAATTAGGTTCCATTAATTAAATGGAGATTGTTATTTTAATGGTTAAACTTTTCTTTATGTTTCAGCAACTATTGGTTAGTACTGTGGATTTTTCTGAGTTATAGTTTGGCATTCTCAGCTTTATAATTGACTCTTACTATTGTTAATATTGTCAACTGCTGGACTGTACTATGGGTTAGTTGAAATTTAATTAAATGAATTAAATTGTCAATGACATCGATGGATACTGAATCTTAACTTGATGAATTATTAAACTTTGTCTCGTTAATTACATGGATGGATTCTGGATTGCAAGTTGATGAACTATTTAAACTCTGTATATCAACTATTTGGATTACGTGGGTATGATTTGATGAACTGTTGAAAATGTTGCATCATTCAAGGATCATTTGCATTATATGTACCGGTATGGGACGGTGACATATCAGGGATGGATTAGATCAAAAAGTTAAGTCCTACCCCTTCATACATAAGGAATGGATTAACTAAAACAGTTAAATCGTACATACATGCATGTCCTGTCAACTAAAACAGTTGAACGACATAATGGATATTTGTTTTATCTTTCTGCGCTAGGAAGGAATTTATATATATATTTATGGTACCGTGATACGAGCTTGAGTCTCCTGATCACGGTTAGGGTACGTATATCACAAAGGTTGAGTAGCTGGATATAGCTAATGTTCCCTGGTAGGTCTAGGTACTTGGCCGCTGGAAAGCGTGTTTTATATGTCACCTTCTACCCAGGCTGAACTATGTTATAGGCTAGTGAGCATCCTATAGTGTGTATTTATATATCTATGGACTATTGTAGATATTGCCGAGTTATCTAGGATATATCTGCGTATCGGGTTTATGAACGGATTGTAGTAGATTGGAACTTGCATGTGGGCCTGACCCACTCCTATTTTTCAGGTATTCGCCAGTTCCAGCTTAGAGTTTGATCGTGTTGATGCAGATACAGACACTCACTCTACCGGTTACATAGGATTTCCTTCCTATTATGGTTTTGGATTTTAATTCTGTAAATTTATCTAAAGATTTGTATTTAGGGGTCCACCAGGTGGATTCCCGAGTTGTACGGATTTAAATTATATTAAATTATTATTTAAGGTTTGAGGATTTTCATATTAGTATTCTTTCTGTTTATTATTATTTAAATCTTATTTCAGTTTTATTCCTGCTTGTTTACATATTGATTGTTTGGTATCCCTCGGATCTGTGCTCGGACTTGATCACCCGTGGCTCTAGAAACGAGGGGTATTACAAAAAAGCTCTCCCAGATTTCTTTGAATTTCAGGAGATTCTCCGGCAATCTTGGTTACTTTCTTCCCCGCCTTCATCTTCCACGCCGGTTCAACCTCATGGTGTCCTCCTCCGCTAGGGTTTTTCAAACTTAATTTTGATGCTGCATTTAATCAATCTTGGAAATTACGTAGGGGTGGTTTGATTCTCATAAATCCTTTTGGGTAACCTGTGAAAGTGGCCTCTGTTTTCTTTTCTAATGTTGGTAGTCCTTCCATGGCTGAGGGCCTTGTCCTTTGCGAAAGTCTTTCGTGTCCATCTCTGGGGATATCAAAATGTTATTGTTAAAGGGGATTGCCAGCCGGTGATGCTGCTTAAGCCTTCGAGTGAGGTTTTATATTTTGTTTTTGCTGATGTTTCTCATTTGCTATCTGTTTGTCAGGGATCATCTTTGGCATGGGTTCCTAGAAGTGTTAATTGTGTAGCTCATTTAGTAAGCAAAATGGCCTTGGCGGCCGAGTGTGGTGATCTGGAGTGGGGTGTCTGGCCTAAATGGCTTTCAGATGCTTTATCTTTGGACTATATTTCTTCTGTTTCTCAATGAATTGTCTCTCTTGTTGGTGTTAACAAAAAAAAAAAAAAAATTAAGATCACTTAAAATCAATTATTTTTTTCCCATTTTGGTAAATTAATTTTTTCAAATAATTTTTTGAGTTTAGTTATTATTCTCACCTTGATTAAAAAAGATAAGTTTAGAGTTGAAAATTGTATGAGTCATGAATGAGCTGTCTACAAATAAACCTTAAGCATTACCCAAAATGAAACAATATAAGATTGATTAATATCTTTCCCAAAAAAAAAAAAAAAAAATTCTAGAATCTCTATCCAATAGGCTCTAGAATCCATCTTTTGTTTCAGCAAATCATCTTTTCTCTCATTTTTTATTTGCATCCTTTTGTTTATGCCTTGTTACCAAATCGTTTTGCATTTAGGTTTTTTTTTTTTACTTTAGGTCCATTTATGTACATGATTCTCACTGTATAACAACATTCATCCTACCCAAAGACTTCTCAAAGGTCACTCATTTTATTACTATTATAGAGTAAACAGGCTTAACTTTGAAATTCTTATGAGTTCATGGCAATTATGACTTTAAAATGTGTTATATCATTAAAGGGTGTACAACATACATTTCGCAAACAATAGAGGATCATAACACCTTATAACATGCCAATGCTCGTCCACATCACACCCACCCACACAGGTGGTCACACTCTAATCTTTCTTTCTAAATTCATGTTTAATGGTATTTAATTTGTGCATATTAGAGTTCATCATGTATTTGATATTGTTTTGGGGTTGCATTGAATTTATCTAATGAAGAGTTTCGGCTCTCTCTTTTGTGGATTTGATTTGTCACCTGGTGTGAAGGAGTTGGGCTGCTAAATTAGGCTTCAGCATCAGACTCTATCTGAGATGGGCTTAGGCTCCTGCCGATACAAAAGTCCACTTCAGTCCCAAAGCCCAAATTTAGAAATAGCAGGAAAGCCCACCCTTCAAAGAGAAATATTCCCCAAGTCACCAATTTAAAAACAAACTTTCTATTCTAATTTTCTAAATTTCGGGGAGCTAATTAGGCTGGTAAATGAATGGTAATCTTCCTTAAAAGCTTGAATATTTATCCCTTAATTAAGAATTTAAAATAATAATAATAATAAGAACGGAACTTAATTGTTTTAAAAGGAGCCAGATCATCTTAATTGATTAATGGTCGGCTGTGAATGTGTTGGTTAGATTTTTCTTTTGTAATATTAAAATTTTTATACCCATTTAATGAAAAACCAATAAAAAATATTATATAATTTGTTTCAAGAATAAAGAGTTGCGCCAACCTAGCTCGCAAACATAAGCAGAGCAAGCTTAATTTTTTTTTTTTTCCTCGTCACGAACTCGAGGAATGCTACAAAATAAAAGAGTCAATGCTAACGAGTAATATGTCCGTCTCGTCTTTGCCATTGAGCTCCATATTCTATGCTAACAATTTCATTATCGTGAATTTTTTTTAATATTCCGAAATTTTAACATGGTGTAATTTTTTAGCTTGATGTGAATTCTACATTTTATTACGGAAGGTTTTGCATATGAAATTGAGTTTGTGACCATTAAGTGATTAATTATCTCTTCTAATTCTTACTAAAATCCGATTATCCAAGTGACTATAGCATATCAGGATCACCGTACCAATATACACTTGCATGTGATACTTTCGGCCAATGGAGAATCTTGGAAACTCTTCATTTTCTTTAATGATAGAAATGTGAAGTTTTGAAAAGAAATGAGGAGCGTTCATTGTGAGAAATACTATGAAAAAATTTGTATAACTCTGTGATAGAGTGTCATGGTATTAGACTCGTCTCATTTATAAATCAATAGTGATGGAGAGTGTCACAGTGTTAGACTAGTTTGAGTTTTAGTGCACTTTGTTAGGTACTTTCACTTTGATAGTTAAGAGGGCACAAAGTGTGTGAAAGAACATATCTAGCCATAACCCTACCCTCTAATTTTGTATAACAAGAAAGTCCTAAGTGAGCTAACATAAAATAATCCATTGCCAAAAAAAGAGTGAAACAACCAAATAAAATAGTGTGTAAATTGTTCTCAGTCGTCCATAATAGTACAATATGTATCACGGTGTCATACATTTTAAGGCAGGTACATGTTATACATTTTAAGGTAGACAAGAGATATTGTCTACTTTGACATTTCATCATTTTTATGATTTACAACCAAAAAAAAAAAAAAAAAATGATGAAAAGTAACCAACTTTAAAATGGATCAAACACCACCTTTTTGGCTTTTCACATATACACTAATTAAGATATGGATTACTACAAGAAAAGATAACTCAAAATTTAAAAGAGGAAAAAAAGAAAAAGAAAAAGAAAAAGAAAAAAAAGAGAAGTAAATTAACAAAGAAAAGAAAGGAATTGGGTTAATTCACCAAGGACTAGCAACCTCAGATGAACCTAGTAGCTCTTCTAGATAGTCCGCTCCCAAGTCCTCTAGTACTACTACCTCTACCACATTATCTACATTTACTTTTACCTCTTTCACTTTATTCTTTTTACTCACTGACTTCTTTCTCATCAAGTGTCTCTTCTTTAGCGCCACCACCGGGGAACAACCATCCTCACAACCGCACTTCATGTCCCGGAGCGATTCCCGGACTCTCTCCACCGGAAAATTGAGGACGGCCATGGTTCCCCTCATTGAAAATGCGGCTTGATCATACGCCATGGCAGCTGCCTCCGCGGTATCGAACGTTCCAAGCCAAACCCGAATTCCATTTCTCGTGGAATCCCTTATCTCCGCCGCATATTTCCCCCAAGGCCGCCTTCGTACCCCTCTATACGACTTTTCCTTCTTCAATTCCTTCTTCGCATTGGAAGTGACTTCTTCTTCCTTCACTCCGACGGAGGAGGAATTGGTTTCCGATGATTCCCTTTCCCTTGCTCCCTCGGCTATCATATCGAAAAGAAGCATTTCCTCCGAGTCATTGACATTGAATGGAAGGGAATTTTGACTGAAAAAAATCTCCTCCAAAGAGAGAGATTGGGTCGGCGAGTTCTCGCCGAATGAAGATTCCGGCGAATACTCTGAAATTGGGTATTGGATGAAAGAAGAATCCATTTGTGAATTGAAGGGTTTTTTGGAAATGATTGTTTTTTTATGCTGTGTGGCTTAGTACTCACTCTGTTTTAGTGATCGACCAAAAAAGGAGCCTTAGAAAATTGTATGGAGACCTACCTCTATATATACCAAAATCATATATAATGATATGATTAAAATAGTAATGGGTGACGAGATTGATGATAGTGAAAGGTAAGGATTTTTGGTCAGGGAGGATGTTTTGGCATGTATACATACATATAAGTTTGTATCTATACCATCAAGTGGGGTCAGTCTAATAAGGAGGGACCAAATTGAGGGGACGTTTTAGGCACATGTTGAAATGACGAACGGCGGCGAGGCTTGTCTCTTTGTGCCTTTCCTCATACTCGTAATTTAGTTTAGCCATGTCAGCTAATTTATGTAGGCCCAAGTCCACGTGTTATTTATTTTCTTTTGTCTAGTAATTACAGGACAGTCTCTGCTTTAACTTTTAAGATTGTAACTTTTCTTTTCACCAGGTTTTCTAAGTTGAAAATTACTCTTTATAATTTGACAAATTTCTTAGATTAGTTAAAGTGACCGTTTAACATGGTTATTATATGTGGTTAGTAATTTTAATTTTAATTTTAATAAAAAAAACTATTCATTTTGTTTTACCATGTTTAATGCAAAATTTATTGTGCAAGCTTTCCTATCAGGAAAAATATTAACATGGTTTAAATTTAATTGTGTGCGCTTTAGTCATAGGAAGAGTTGGGAATTAATCAGTGAACCATTCTATCAAAGCAATGATTATTTTATAAAGGCATCATTTGATTAAACTATATATATATCATATATTAACATCATACACTCCTTCAATCGATCCTGAATTTTGAGGTATCCTTAACAGCAAATGTCAGTTAAGCAGTCGCAATAATCTGGTTGTCCTAGGTTATGTTAATTGAATTTAGAAATAACAATTCATTAACACGAAACTCAATATAAAATAGGGGGTTATGATTGACCTTATTTTATTGTTATCATAATTTTACTAACCTGGTTAACAGGTTTAATCCGATTTGACTCGTTTAGTAAATTATATCGAGTTAAGCTAAATATTAACATTTGATCCGACTAATATATATAATAGGTACTCCTTTTGTTTCAAAATTCTTAGGATGTTTGGAAATTTTAACTTTCTATCAAGTTTTTAATATTTTTTATTATATTGATAAGATTGAATTTTTAAATTTATCCCTATTAAAAGATAAAAGAGTACAATTATTTAATCAAATCAATGTCAAAATGATAGTTTGAAAATGTTATAAAAAATAGTATATATATATTTTTTAAATGGAACATGTATTTTGGTACATTCCAAAAATAGAAGTATGAACAATAATTCATTTTTAAAATGAAACATGTATTTTAGCAAATCCCAAAATAGAGAGATGAACACTAATATATTTAAACTAATATGATAAATAGTAAAGCTCTTACTTAATTGTTAAAAAAATATTATATGCCGGTAAGTATGCCAAATATTTTTATACTAGGTCTAAAAAAAAAAAAACACCCACTTAGCGCCTTACGTGGCCTATAAAATGGACCGATTAGTGTCATAAAAGTTAAGGGCGACAACCGGCAGAATTAGCTAAACCTTATTTTACTTCACTAAAAAATTCATCATATTAATTTTATTTTTACTTCTTTATAATTGGTATATTATTCCTTCCCAAATTCAGTCAATACCAAATTTGGAGGGCCTAGAAGCGGGGTTAAAAAAAAAAGGACATAAAAAAAAAAAAATCAACTGCCTGCCAACGCCATACCAAATCCTCCACCTCCTCCTTTTCTTACGCAAACAATGAAATGACATTTTCAATCTTACTCTTCCAGATTCAGGCCCCCTTCGTGACCTTTTGGCATCCATCAAAAATGCCAAATTCATCAAATGTTCGCCTTTAAAACCCTTTTCATAATACAAATGTGATTTACCAGTTTCTTTTCATCTTTTAACATTAATAAATTACTAGATGATCGCGCATAATATAGTTTTGATAAACCAAAAATTATGATGTAATTAAAATAATATAAATCTAATTACACGACAATTGTGATAGGCCGAAATCACATAATTTTAGATAATTTAATTATTTATCTTTAGTAACAACTGTCTCTCTTTAAAGCTATAGTGAGAATTCTCAGTTTAGAGGGAAAAAATAAATAAAAAATTATTCACAATAACGGATACCAACAGTGTGATGGAGACAACTCACTCTCCCTCATATATTTATTTTTTTCTTTAAAGTCTTGACTGATATGTTCTTTACCTCTTTGTAAAAGTCAAAGATAAAAATACGTGCTCATAAATTTATCTATATAAAGGAAATTATTGCTAATTGCAGTCGTTATAATTAATACATTGCTTTTAAACTGTTTCATTCTTCACTTCTTCTTTTTTTTTTCTTTTTAAAATCAATCATTTATACTTTATTATCATCTGTAATTATATATCACTCATTAAATTATCTTATATCTAAAGTGTAATTATCTCATCAGCATTATACTTTTCTCTTTCTCTTTACTTAATCATTTACTTTTATCAATAAAATAATATTATAATGAGATTTCTAACTAATGATATCTTTATTTTTAGTCACTTAATAGAAATAATATTTTGAGACATATTAAATGGCTAGATGAACTTTTTGAATAATATTACTCTAAATTTTTAATAAACCCAAGATATTAATAACATAATATTTTAAATATATATTAATAATATAATATTTTAATCACCAGTGCTACCAATACTGAGGACTTCCTTGTGGATTTCGCTTCTCTGACTTTTAGTCATTTGACTATTGACCCAAGGCCCTATTGGACATGCGTGGTCATAGATTGATAGTGATCACACAGATTCATGGAACATGGTCACTTTTTACATTCTTCTTTTATTTATTTTTTCTTTATCATAGTAATAATTAGTTATAAATTTCACACCAACTAATCTTCCTCCACCTTCAAAAATAAAAATAAAAATAATAATGCATCAACATTAATTTTATCTGCTATGAATTGTCATATATCACCACTCACTTTATGCATACAAAGTTATAATATTATTCTTAAATTCGTGGGACCATTGATCGCGAACCCTTTCGGTATTGGTTCATGAATCTGTACGCCCTCTTTTGGACAAGGGCTTTGAAATTAACTTTTGGCCTTCACCCGCTTTAGTAACATTAAATAAAATAAAATAGTACCCATTTTTTTTTTTTTTTTGGTCAAAGTTTCTTAACAATAGCTTAATGCGCTAAAGTATCTAGATTTTAAATTTCATGTTACAAAGTCCGTTCAAAAATAAATTTCTTATGAATTAATTTAGTGTAGGAGACTAATCTTTAGGGCACATGACTATTTGTGAGATTTTAATAGAAACATGCATAGGTTGTTATGATGAACAAGTTGCATAAATTATTTGGCATATATATTGTTTGTTGTAGGGAGCATTTTTAATTGACCATTAAGTCACCATAATAACAATTTGGCCTAGCCTTTGATTTGATTTAGGAGCAATATTATATTAAATCATGACAACTCTTCATTAATTATATTAATTAACTCTATTGTTTAATAGGGCCATGCTTAATTTAATTTCAAGGAAGCAAGTGCATGCATCTTTACATCTCTATAATTTTTCAATTTGACATTACTACAAAGGGAAGATATTATATATGTAATCCTATCCTTTGTGAACTTTCACCCTAGAGAGATGCAACTCAAGTCTAACAAGATGTGATTTGCATTAAATTAATAAAAAAAATTGCTAATTTCAATGATAAATATAATGTCACTGTATAGTGCTTGTATTAGAACGACACTGCTCTCCATTAGTCATCAGTTTTGAAGTCTAAAATATCTATTACTTCCATTCTTGCTTTAATCTCCTATAAAAAGGTTATGGTGATCTCGAGCCTTGTTCAATGTGGGAAAATTTTAGGAGAGTGGCTCCAAGAGAATTTGAATTTCCAAACTTAAAAAATGTGAGGCGGGAGTTTTTGTTATTAGATAATTACATTATGTTGTATTCAATTTTAGAATCGAAGAAAGAATATGGTCAATGTATGTATGCCGTGTAGTGTATGTGTTTAGACAATATTTTTGCTTAAAAATTAAAAAATAAAACCCATAAGTTAATAAATAATTGAATTGATGTGGCCACCTTCACCAGTAACTTAATTACTTCTTCTAATGTTTTAAATTCAATAAAGATTAGAGAAAGATTAGTGAAGGATTTGAGAAGACTATGATGTCAGAAAATCCAGTGAAAATCTGTTTTAAAGTAGCCTGTTTTTCTAACTCTTACTTCCAACAACTTAGTGGGCGTCTCGCCCACTAGGCTAAATGCATGCACATACTCAAATTAAGTTGACAAAAAATAGAAAATTTGTTTGAATGTTTCAACATTGGGAGGAATTATTGTTGTTAGTGTTTTCAGAATTTTCCGAGAAAATCTCTTTCTAGTCCTTTTCGTTTCTTTTTAGCCTTTTGAATTAGAAATAGAAAGACGTTTTATCTAATTCAATCTAAAGTTTATATTATTAATATTCAATTAAGGCACTTGAGTGGTTTCCCACTTTCCCCCTTTATTGGAAGCTTCATGGTAGAGAGAGGAGAAGTTATTAAATGCTCAATTTCAAATTCCTGGGCTTGTCTTTTTTGAAGTCCAAGGTTCGTTTGAATGTAGGCTATCAAATTGGACCGAGGATAAGAAAAAGACGAACTTCTCTTTTATTTATTATTTGAAAGGCAAGGTACTTTTATTATTAATTACTAGTTTGAACAATGCTGTTTCTTCCTCTCTCTTTTTTTTTTTTTTTTTTTTGGCATGACAGTGATTAACGAAAATGGGAAATTTGAATATTAGTTTGTCTTAGCAAGGGGGATTCATAATAATGAAATAACATATCCAAATATAATTTCTTAGATGATAAATTCGATTAATTTTACGCGAGTAAATGGTGACATTATTGTGAAGTCAAGAATATTAATAATAAGATAATACTTAGTTATTCAGTAAGAATGTATACCCGCTAATATGGTCCAATAACAAATGAACACATTCTCTTTAATTAAAAGTAAAATAACAATGATTAGGAATTACATTACCCGAGAGAGATGACAGCTCAAGTGTTGAGAAATTATTACATGATCTCAGGAATATTAATCCCATCATTATTTGATATCTAAGTAAATGTGTTAGAAATTTGTAAATTTTATTCAATTTTTTTATTTCTTAGTATTAAATGGTAATTGTGACTTGTCACTACGGGTTACTTTCGTGATGGGTTCTATTCATACAACACACATGCCCAAACCGAGTGGGGTTAGTTTCGTGATGGGTTGGGTGTGACATCATTCATTAATTAAAGAAACACAAGGCTAATGCTCCCGTAATGAATGATGTCATTGAAGGCCTTAATTTTTTAGCAGACCCAACCCCAGTATTACTGGGCAGGCCTTATATATGTATAAAGTAAGCCTTCAATGACATCACTCATTACGGGAGCATAATTACTACCAATTAGCCTTGTGTTTTCAGCCAGCCCAAGCCCACAATCACTAAACGAACACAAAGGCCTCATCAGGTAGGCCCCTCCTCCAACTGTAGACCTGCTCTTCTTTCTATCTATTGGCTACTCTAAATATGTACTTCACCATTTAGAATCTAAAGATATATTTCAGATTCAGAGCCTTTTAAACAAAAAACATGAGGGGTAATAATCTTTTTTACTTTGCTTTTGCCTTTTAGAGAAGTTTCGCGGCAAAGCTTCATTCTTAGTCATGGTATGGCATGCTAGAAAAATTCCAACCGTCACATATGACCCAATTAGTGGCTCTCTACAGCCTACCAAAAGAAGAAGAAGAAGAAGAAGAAGGCGCACACACACACAAACACTATATATATGTGTGTGTTGCCGTGCCATACAAGAACTTGGCTGCTTATATATTCATCAGCTAGCTGATATACGTAGGATTAAAATGGAAGCAAATAAAAATATGGAGAAGTCGAGAGAAGGAGAGACGATGAACATCAAGTACAGAGGAATACGGAGGAGGCCATGGGGTAAGTTTGCAGCGGAGATTCGTGACCCGACGAGGAACGGGGCACGTCTCTGGTTAGGGACTTTTGAAACTGCTGAGCAGGCTGCACGAGCATATGATCGAGCTGCTTATTCTTTAAGGGGTCATCAAGCCATTCTCAATTTCCCTAACGAACACCATTTTATTACTCCTCCAACTATACCATCTCCTAATTCAAATATTCCTTCTTCTTCTAATTCCTCCACTCGTGAATTGGGACGAGACGAGGATGAGCAAGTTATTGAGTTCGAGTATTTGGATAATAAGCTCTTGGAGGATCTTCTTGACCTACAAGACCCCCAACCAACAACAAATAAGAGACCCAAGTTTCTATAGCATATATAAATATATATATGTGTGTGTGTGTGTGTGTGAGAGAGAGAGTGTATATGAAGAAATTTGTACTATTTTCATTCTTATTATGTTGTTTTTTTACTCATTCATTATTATGCAACAGATTTAATCACTCAATACTCTACCTTGTATACTTTTGTACCTAATAAATAGCTATTTATGCTTAACAAGTACATATATGAACAGAACAATTGTTCAGAAAATGTTCAAATAAGCTAATTAAATTGCAGTTGATTGTTTTAAAGATTGTTAATATTTGTCCTCCTGTCTAGCTTTATGTTGTAAAACAGTATGGTCTTTTATGTTTTCAATGGAGGAGACCACATCGTCCCTATCCCATTCTTTCTTCTTTTGATTTGGATTTTATCGCAGTTGTTTGTTTACTTTAGAGTCAAAGTTGGGACAACGATCAATTGGTGTTAATTATGTATATTTGTACCCTTTTACCAAATCACACATTTCAAACATTTTTTTTTGGTGGACATTTCACTTCATAAAGTATTTTTGCTACAAAAACAGCAATACATCTAATAAGCATCAATATTTCTACAATAATGATATATTTATATCATGTTTCATATATACTGACATTCTAAACATATCTATAATTTTAAAATATATATATATTTTTTGTGAATTAATTACGTATCCGGGTATTCGATACTTCTCACATACTTCGATGACATATCAAATACTTTTCACGTACTTCGATAAATATTTTTAACAAGTTTAAACATTAAAATGTAGATTTTTCCAAAGTAATATCATAATATAATTGTTAAGAAAAGTTTAAAATTTATATTTAAAAAACCATTGAATTATATATTTAGTACAAAATGTATCCCATATCATGCCACATGACTCTCAAATCTTATTTTGTTTGTTAATCATAAAATTTTGTAAGGAAATACTAATAACAATATATATAACATAAAAATTATTTTTCTGTACATGTATGTGTGCGTGTGTGTATATATATACAAGAAAATATAATTTATTATTTTTATATTATCGTGTCCTACTATATCCTTATCCAAATATATATATATATATATATAAATATATATATTTTAATGATTTGGTATATCCTATACGTGTAACATATTTGTGTCTCTTATTCGTATCCACAGTGGCATAGCCACCTTAGGACCAGTGGGGACAATTGCTCCACTGGAATTTTCTACTCTTTGCATTTTTTATGCATAAATTCTAATAATTATGAAATTGCCCCCACTGAAAATTTTGAGATTTCATAAAAGACCTAATTTATATATATATAAATTAGGGGTATTTTTAAATTTTGGACATTTTCTTTAGGTCTTTTGTGAAATCTCAAAATTTTCAGTGGGGGCAATTTCATAATTATTAGAATTTATGCATAAAAAATGCAAAGAGTAGAAAATTCCAGTGGAGCATATATATATTTAACTCATTTGCCTAATAAGATGTTAAAAATTAAAAAATAATAATAATAAAACCAATATTTTTTCCTCATAATGTGGATTCCACAAAATTTATAAAAATTAAAAATGAAAAAAGACCTTCTTTTGTTATTTATTATTTAGATCTATTTTTTTTTTTTTTTTTATAATTGCCCACTCTGAACTAATTTTTTTGACTCCGTCACTGCGTATCGATGCTTATTAGCAGTACATAAAAATTAATCGAGATGCATTGCTGACATGATTTACCATTTTTAATCATTTTAACACAAAATAACTTGTCACCGTTTCATCTTAATATTAAGAGAATGAGTCTCTCAAGGCAATGGATTCAGAACACTTCACTATAACTAATTTGAGTCTTAACTCACTCGACTACAACGTCCAATTTGAACTTTGGCTCGATACTCACAAAAATATGTTTTGGGTAGACTCAGGTTGGAATCATTGGACCGTCAATCAGCCCAATTCTTATGAGTTGTATAGCACTTCTAAACTAAAGCCCAACCTCATCCTCCAACAGTCGAAGTAGCAGAGTCGACTCTTCAAGGCCCATGAGGCCCAAGATGATATATATACAGATATAATTGTCGTAAAATCAGAGCATATGGTTTATTCAACTGCAACTAGTTTATTCTAAAAAAAAATAAAATAGAACCCTATATTTATATCAACATAATTCAAATGCATAGTGTTTCTAAACTTTTGGCTAACTGATTCAACGATTGAGAAACACAACCTTCGAATTCAAGTGATTCTATTGATCCATATAGCATCACTCTTTGAATATGTATGTTTGATGATATAAATATGCATATAATTAAAATCAAATTATTCAAAATTGAGTTGGTGTGTGATGATGTCATTGGATTACGTTTCCCTCACTAATCATCACTTTGACGCATTTAATGATTAAAAATACTTGGAGAAGAAAAAGGACCACGTATTTCAGACCCAAATGTTTGACAATATATATACATATATAAGGACCACTTCTTTTTTTTATTTTTTATAATTGTTTCGTACATTTTATTGTGGTGGTGTGACTTCATATGTATGACGTCTCCTTGATTCCTCATCACGCTTAAGTAGATTAATTAGCAACAAACACTTAAACAATTAAGATAAATTTAAGTATCCCAAATGTTTGACAATATATATACATATATATATGGACCACTTCTTTTTTTTATAATTGTTTCATACATTTTATTGTGGTGGTGTGGTGACTTCATATGTATGACGTCCCCTTGATTCCTCATCACGCTTAAGTGGATTAATTAGCAACAAACACTTCAACAATTAAGAAAAATTTAAGTATCCCAAGATTAGAAACAGACTCGGAAAGGGCTGGGATTGTCTTCTATTTTTCTATTTTCAATGATTGATATATAATAACAACAGTATAGGTTAATGGTGAGGTCATAAGGCTTATGTCAATCTATTTGATAATGTGTGATGTCAAATGCTTATGTCACTTTTGATAACGATTAACAGTACAAACAGAGAACCACATTCTACGGGAGGGTGTTCTAAGACAATTTAGACAAAGTTGTTAGGTTTGTGATTCAAAATTTGTGCGCATTAATTTCTTCTTTCGTTTTAGAATCTGCGAAAAACAGTTTTCTGATTGGTTTTGGAATCCAGAAGACTTAGGGAAAAAGGCTAAAAATTTGAGAAATAAATTATACTTACTATTTTAGAGTTGAAGATAAATATGGTAACTCCTTGTAGGTAAATTGATCCTTATCCAATAAGAAATTGGACTTGAGGAATACTTGTCCAACAAAGAATTGAATTTTGAAGACTCTATAAATAGAGATGGATATGAGAGGTTTAGAGAGACAAGAGAGAAAAGATATAAGGGGTTTAAGGGTGAGGGTTGTGAGGAGAGGGAAGCATATATGTACTTCACAAGTGTATACATGTAGACTCAAAATATATAATGAGTGAGTGAGTGGGATTTTGACATGTGATTATATATTCTCTTCCTTGATTCATAATACTGAAATCTCTCTCTCCCATTGAGGTAATCTTAGACTTTGGTGAATTATGTAAAATATTGTGTTGTGCGTGAATGTGTGTGATTGTTATCTCCATATATGTTTGTTTGATGTGATGTGATGATACTTTCGCTGTGTGTGATAAAGAAGGGATTTAACTCTCAACAATAGCCGACTGACGATTGAGTGGGTTGGAGGGAGTTAATTATTCCCAACAAAAAAAAGTAACTATTGTGCAGCAATTACCTTTTTTAATTTTAATTTTAATTTTAATTTTTAAGATTAGATTTATATTTTACAAAATTCAAAACAAAAGTGTAACCCATCCTATATTATTATTATTATTATTAATTTATTATTACTGAGACATTAATAGTTCAAGTCTAACCTAAATTTAAATGGAGTTGTAATTTAACAATTTGAATTTATCTATCAACTTGAATATAATCGGACCAACTAATCTGGGCCTAAATTGTGCTTTGAAAAATATGTTGAAGGTAGATTTGAGTTGAATTCGTTGATTTGAAAGTTAATTAGACCCAACTAGCCTCTCAACCCATCATATTAGTTCGTAGTTGGCGTTCCTAGCTTTTGAGATTTAATAAATTCTCAAACTTTTGGCCCCTTTAATAAAATGTCAAAAATTATTATAAAATAATAATTTATTTTTTTATTTTTAAATAACATGTTGAATATATGACCAATATGTTAATTAAAATTAAATTGGCCACAAATAGTCATCGCCTTAAAATATACTCATGGAAGAAAAAGGATATTTGGGATACCTCTAGTTTGACAAAAACACGCACACACATCACACATATACATGACACATTTTATTGCGTTGGTGGTGACTTCACATGTATGACATTTCCTGCATTCCTCATCATTTTTAGATGAATTAATAATTAGTTACGGTTCCAACAAATTAAGACATCAACAATTAACAACAAAAAATTAGGCTAGAATTTGGAAACCGACTGGGAAAGGGTCAATTTATATTCTATGTTTTATATTTTCAATGACCGACTCTTAATATATACTAGTGTAAGTATTGGTTAATGGTGAGATCAGAAGGCATAGCATACGTTCATCTATTTGATCATGTGTGATGTCAACTGATGATGTCACTTTTAATGATGTAATATGAGTACAAAAGTGGGAGGACCACCTTACCTATTAACTATTAAGTGGTCCTGAGAAAAGGTAAAGCTATTTTTACAAGGTATGATCTCATTGAGGTTGAAGCGATCACTACATTATTCGTTTTATTTTTTTATACAAATATATTACTCCGTATTATTATTATTATTATTATAAAATATCAATAATATCGCTGGACATTCTAAATGCTTAATAATTTATTATCGAATACTTATAATCTTATATCATAAACATGTAAGAAGATATTGAAATTACCGTCAACTTAGAAGCATAATAAATAATAATACAAGCAATAAAATGCAAAGTTATAAGTATTTTTTATTTTTACTAAAAAATAAAATGCAAGTAGATATTTTTTATTTTTACTAAGCAATAAAATGCAAAGTTAAATGTGAAATAAATTACAATGATGTACTTTGCCCAATAACCTGCGAGGAGACAAAATATGATTATTTATATTCTCAATAAATAATCATTCGAATATATGAAATGGATATTATGGATGTGGTTAAAGCTCTTTTACAAGTGAATGTCTTATTAAGTTTGAAGTAATTGCTATAATAGGCTCCCTCTATTTCAAAATAAATGTCTCTTTTAAGAAACTGTGACTCACAATAATATCATACAAGAGGTGGAATATACATGTTTTGATGGTAGGAGGCTATGAGCAAAAAAAATATGTAATTAGATATAATGATGAGGAACAAAATATGGTCATTTCATAGCAGACAAGACGTACAAAATGTGGTTAATATTTGAATACAGTGAAATAGATATTATGTAGTACAAAGTTCGACTTCAACAAAAATAAACTCTAATAAATTTGAAAAATGACAAACAACTAGATAAACATTTAATTACAAAATTGGGATTTTCAATCAGAGTTTTAAAACGTTAAAAAGATGGTAAAGAATAAGATCGCTTCTTGTTTCATGAATTAGCTCCAATTATGTTCACAAGTAGCAAAGACTTAATAAGAATTTGCTTGATTCAATTTTTAATTAAAAAAATAATATCCAAATATTATAAAAGCAAAAGGTTTTTTTTTTTTTTTTAATTTTTAAAATAAAAATACAAAATTGCTTTTTCTAAGACTGTCTTTTTCACTCTATTAACAAGAAAACAATTTTCAAAAAATTAAGAAAACTGTTTTCGATCTGATTTTATTTTGGTTGAAATTCCATTGAGTTGTTGCTGCAAAATGTGTTATATTCTTTTATGTTTTTCAAAGTGATGAAGTAATAATGTCTAATTATTAGGTCCTCCTCAATTATTTTATGTCCTGAAAGGGCATCTACCTTTGAATAAACCTAGAAGCACTGAAGTTTTTGACAATTACATGTATTTTAATGAGCTAAAAGAAAGTCAGAATTACTTCAAAGTTAATGTCTGGTTTCAACTCCAAGTCATTATCATACATCCTCAACATAACATGGATCAAAGACTTCCCAAAATTATGTTGAAGATTTGATTGAAGTCAAGCGATGCAAATGGAGGAATATAGTCAAGTGACCCAAATTGAGATATAAAGTGAGGATTAAAAATAAAAAAATAAAAAAAATTGAGATATAATCATATAAAGTCCAAGACTTTCATAAATGTTGCGCCCACAAATATGAGAAATCAATAATCATGTAATCCTTTAGTCAAAAGCTCTGATTCGATTCAAAATACAGTAAACTTCACAGTTGAACACTTAATATGGCAAAACAGAACACTTGAGAAAGCAATTACTTAGCAATATGGTAAATATATAATTGAAAGATAGTAATATTAATATAGCATAACAACTTTTTTCTGAATCTTACATTGACTCTTGATCATCACGGAGTCATCCGACCAAGTCCGTTATAACTAAAAGAAAGCTAACATATAGCAAAACAGAACCATGTTAATTTCCCTTCTCCCAAATATATATATATATATATGAATCTAAATTATATCAATCTTTCTTTTTTTTCTTCTCTTCGTCACTCTCAAGTAGGTCCTCTAACAACTTGTCATCAAAGTAATAAAATTCAAAAACTTCCTTCCCTTGCTCTGCTGTTGAAGAAGAAGAAGAGGATGATGATGATGATGATGATGAAGAGGTTGGCATTGACGGCAATGGCAACGGTAGTGATGAAGATGATGATGAAGAGGTTGACATTGACGGCAATGGCAACGGTAGTGATGAAGATGATGATGGAGAGACTGACATTGACGAAAATGGCAATGGCAATGGAAGTGCGGATGATGAAGACGAAGAAGCAGAGAAGGGAGGAAGAGGATACTCATTAGGGAAGTTGAGAATGGCTAATGGACCCCTCATTGTAAACGCCGCCCGATCATAAGCTCTTGCTGCTGCTTCTGCAGTAGCAAAAGTCCCCAGCCACAGCCGAGCTCCATGCCTAGTCGAATCCCGAATCTCCGCTGCAAATTTCCCCCATGGCCGCCTCCTCACACCTCTGTATCTAACCTGTGCCTCTGCTCCCTCTTTCACCTTTCCTTCAGCATCTTCCGCCATTGTCTACCTCGCTCAATCAGAGTACTATTAGCTTTATGTCTCCCTTGCCATATATAAGGAAATACTAGTATTTGATTGGACGAAACGGTCAATATGTGGTCCTAACTATATAAAAAATCCAATAATTTACAAGTCTTCTTCAAACGTGCTATATTCCCGGTGAGACATTAATGAAGAACGCAGAGGAGTGATAATGTATTTTTTTTTTTTAATATCATCTTTCTCTTTATTTGTTTAGAGTGTTAATTAGTTAAAATGATTGACTAATAAAACAATCCCCACTTGGAGATTTAAATATTTTGGGAGTTTGCTTTTTCTAGGGATTTTTGTGGACCGTGATATTTTTGCTTTGCTATATCAGCTTGGTGGGTGACGTCAGTCTGATGACGTTTCTCTAATAGTCGTCATCAAATGTTTAAGTAGTAGTTATTAGTGACCTATGAGGCTATGATGCAAGTGGGTACGTAGTAAATAAATTAATAGTAGAAATTTAGATCCTAGTAGGCTATGATGCAAGTGGGTACATAGGTGAGGTCATTTTGCTTACGTTGCTCTAAACCACGGCAAGTCGCGTAATCATTTTTTATGCTAATGAGGTTAGGGTTATCGATTTGATTTTGATGACTACGGCTGTTAATGGCTTGTTTTTCTGCTCCTGATTTTAGGATTTTTTTAATTTGATCACGAGGCTGTTAATTGCTTGTCCTTTTTTACTAACTAGTATGTTCAGTTTTATAGATGGCGGTTTTGGTCACAAGTGCTGTTCTATTTAATTTGAAATCATTTCCAATTCCAAATGAATATGTTTTCGAATATCATTGAATTATAACATATTATATAACCAAACAAGATTTTTTTTTTTTTTTTTTTAAAGTAAATGAGATATATATGCATTATAATTGAAGTTATGTGCAGCTGACAGAAAAAACCACAATGTAAAGAAATCACAAAAGGAAAAATAAAATAAAAATACCACCAGACTTGAGCCATCTGTTGTTGAGCAGTAGATAATTCTTGTGGACTTGGTAGCAGAATGTTGGAGAAAAGACTGCTGATCCCGAATTAAGGAATGGATTTCGAGGGGGAGGAGAAGGAGTTGGCGTTGAAGCTTGGACTGTTGTGTTGAAACAACCTGTGGCAGCAATTAGGCCAAGCATGTCTCAAGTTTTGCATTACTTAAAGGGTCATGTTTCACTCCCTGAGAACTTGGATGCTCTTGTTTTGAATCAAGAGTACCGGGCAGGGCTCAATGATTGTGACATTGTCAGCAACAAGATACAGAGCAGTACAAGTATAGAACTATCTGAAATAAGTGCAGCAGAAATCCCAGAGCATTAGCAAGAAACAAGAGAATCAGAGGATAACCAGAGAAAACCGGATATATATATATATATATATATATATATATAGCAGAGAAAAAATGGGGGCAAAAAGCAGTAGCCATAGACAAAAGCAGCAGCATGGTAGATAGCAGTTTCAAAGAGCAGTACATAGCACAAGATTCCACAACACATTAACTCAACAACATATGGCTCAGCAGCATAGTAGAGAAGCAGAAGCACAATTAATTAGATCCACAAAACACCAATAGAGCATTCATGTAAAAAATGACCAATTGATCCGAGAGAGCAAATAAATTTCATTATAACACTAATACAATGGCCTTCCAAGCTCAAGCCAAACTTTCTCACTGTCACGTGCTAAGCTAATAAAAGACTATAAACCCTACATCACTTTTGTTCTAATCATTCAATGACCCAAAAAGATTCACATTTAACTTCTACAACGTATCAAAAATATCATCACAGCTCAGCAAAAATTGAATTTTACATTCCCAGCCTGATACCAGGGGCATTGACTATAAGATAACCCACAAAACAGAATACAATCACTACTCAAAAAGAACGCATTATGGTCAAGATGTTGAGAATTGATTTCCACCTGAGAAATTTATACTTGCTTCTTTTTTTTCTCCCAAAAAGTAGTAGTTCCGCTGGAAATCCATAACTGCCCAAACCAAATGCCAAAAACCAATCTCTGGCCAAAGCACGGAAGGTGAATATAGAAGGCAATATGAACTCTGCCACAAAAGAAAATTGCTTAAGCGGGTCTCTCCAGAAGTACGAATTATGATATCAGGATCAGGCGCAACTGCCATATACATGTTCCTATCCACATCTAGTAAATTAATGAGGTGCTGCCCTTGATCTGTTTCACTCTCTCCAAGTCCAATTTTTCCAGACCCAGCACCACTTGCATCTAGAGTCTCTAGTATTCTGATTTCATCCCATTTTTCTTCACAAGATTTTTGAACAGCATGCACTATTTCATCACTGGAAGTATAGGCAACACAAATTGAGAGCACTGCTTTGGAGTTGCTGGCTGTGGCTGCCATAGCCCTCTCGGCTGACAACCTGACAGGTTTGCTCAAGAGCCTAAGATTACCTATAAAGTAAACCCTAACTCCATAGCGGTTCACTATGCTCTCTTCTTCGATTAACCCCTCAATTTTTTCCTGCATCAACTCCATAACAGATTGCACTTCTTCCGGACGTCTTTTGAAATTATCAATGCTGAAGGCATAAATAGTTACATATTTCACGCCCAGCTCATAACAATATATAAGCACGGACATGAGAGTCAAGAACCCAATCTTGTGGCCCGTTCCTTCTATCATATTCTGCTTCTTTGCATATCTTCGATTCCCATCCATGATAAAGGCAATGTGATTGGGAATGGGGCCGACGGAAAGAACACGAAAAATGCATCTTCGCAGGAAACTGCCCAAATTACCAAAGATTTTTGTAGTTTGAATATCACTTCTGTTATCCATATAAAAGCCTTTTAAGTGCTAAATTAGTATTGCCAAATTTATCTGTTCACAAAATCAAACGTCCGTCAAAATTATTTCGAGGAAAAAGACACAATCACATAAGTATATACTATATAACCCATGTGGAAACGAAATTGTATGAATTTAAAAACCATAGAGTGTACCATATAAACTAATCATACCACATGTTAAATGGACAGTTAAAACCCATCTAGTCCGTATTTCTAGGAATTAGGGTGATAGGTCATCGACTCATCGTTACCAATGACACCACATTTCAAGTCATTGGACAAGTTTTTGTAGCAGCTAGCATGGTTTGTTCACAAAACTGATCTTATTGGCGATCCATACGGACGTGACGACAAATCTTTTCCAAAATTTCGTGCAGCTCTTTCTGAAATATTTTCATGAATGATCAACATGAACATGTTAATAACTCATCTAGTGTTCAAGAAATATCAACACAAGATAACAACCTTCAACATAGTTTCTTTTTATTCTAGTTCATATTACTATAACAAACTTCTTTTCAAACTCCTACTTTGAGAGTCATTAGGTCAATTAATTTTTTATTGTGTAAATTGTTACCCGTTTAATGACCAACCACTTTGTTAATCTTCTAAAAACTGTTAGATACTACTTATTAGATAAAGTATGAATCAAAAGTTAGTTATAGAAAAGTCTCCCACTAAATCAAACACCTCAATCAAATCTTATTATGAAGATACGCCAACAACAACAGCAACCATCATTACAGTCATAATTATATATCGGTTTACTTATAAAAAAAATTATTATCATATATCGGTTCTTTCATACTAATGTGCTCCACTTACTACTTGTTGAAAAGGAAAGATTCGGTAGTTATACTACCAAATATTATTAGCTGTAAATATAATATTTGGAGGATATTTGTTGTAAATAGAATATTGGTCAAATGCTGTAAATTAAGAAATTATTAATTAGGCCAACTAGTTATGTGCGTGTATTCTCTCTTATACAGAGAACCCGTGTAAACTTGTGAAGTGTGTGCTAATATAGAGAAAATGTTTATTCGATATTTCTTTCCTTTCAAGTTTATATAGTATCAGAACCACCCTAAGAAAAAAAAAAAAAAAAAAAAAAAAAAAAAAACCCTAATTTTCTTTTTTGCACAATTTCTTCGCTGATCAGCTATGTCTGACGTTTCCTCCATGTCAACCTCGCCTATCACAACCCAGTCAACCAATTCGACAACCCAAGCCCCCAGTACCGATTCTCATTCGGTTCAAATCACCAATATTCGCCTTAATGGTGACAATTATTTACGGTGGTCCCAGTCCATTCGGATGTACATCAAAGGGCGGGGAAAGATCAGATACCTGACAGGAGACAAGAAGGCACCAGCATCGGAGGACCCAACGTACGTGACCTAGGATGCAGAAAATTCAATGGTGATGACTTGGCTTGTGAACTCCATGGACAAGGATATTAGCTCCAACTATATGTGCTACTCCACAGCCAAGGAGCTCTGGGAGAACATGAATCAAATGTACTCTGATTTGGGAAATCAATCTCAGATCTACGAATTGACTCTAAAACTTAGTGAGATTCGGCAGGGAGAAGACTCGATCACCAAGTATTTTAATTCATTGAAGCGCCTTTGGCAGGACATGGATCTGTTCAATGATTATAAATGGAAATCCACTGAAAATGCCAATCACTACAAACAGAACATGGAGGCTCATCACATTTACAAGTTCCTTGCTGGGCTCAACGTGGAATTTGGTGAAGTACGAGGACGGATCATTGGCAGGACTCTACTTCCTCCAATTGGTGAAGTGTTTGCTGAGGATCAAAGATAAGAGAGCCGCAGGCATGTAATGTTGGGGAAGAAGCCGACCAGCGAACCTGTTGAGAGTTATGCCCTTATTGTTGCAGAGACTGCTGCTAATAAAGTAGTTAATTTTCAGCAAAAAACTGAAGAGAAGCCACGGGTCTGGTGCAACTTCTGCAACAAACCACACCATACTCGGGAGAACTGCTGGAAAATCCACGAAAAACCAGCGAATTGGAAGAGTAACAAGCCTAGTGACAAAATTAGGCGTGCGGTTCCTACTGCTAGTGAAGCTGAGACAAGTCCCTTAAGCAAGGAGCAGATGAATCACCTTCTGAAGTTGCTGAAATTTAATTCCTCATCTGATATTCCTAGTGTTTCTCTTGCACAAACAGGTAGTGCACTTAATGCCCTTTCTTGTTGTTTAAATTATACTCCATGGATCATCGATTCTGGAGCCTCTGATCATATGACCAGCCTTTCCAATCTTTTTAGCACTTATTCACCATGTTCTGGCCTTGAAAAAATTAGAATTGCAGATAGTAGTTTCTCACTTATTGCAGGAAAATGTTTGATAAAATTATCCAAGAATATAGATCTTAAATCTGTTATCCATGTCCCTAAACTAGCTTGCAACCTTTTGTCTGTGAGTAAACTAACCAAAAAATCTAATTGTCGTGTAATTTTCTGTGATTCTTACTGTGAATTTCAGGACCGGAGCTCGGGGAAGATTGGCAGTGCTAAGATAATAGATGGACTTTACTACTTTGATGGGGACTTCTCCAGTAATAAAAAGGCTTAGGGCCTTAGTAATGTTAGTTTTAACTCTGTTTATGAACAAATAATGTTTTGGCATTTAAGACTAGGACATCCTACCTTTTCATATCTTAAACATTTGTTTCCTACTTTATTTAAAGGTTTTGATTGTTCGTCGTTCTATTGTGAAAGTTATTACTTATCTAAGAGTCATCGTACTACTTATTTGCCAAAACCTTATACTTCTTCAAAACCATTTTATTTAATACAAAGTGATGTTTGGGGACCTTCAAGAGTCACTACTATCTCTAGGAAAAAATGGTTTGTTACTTTTATAGATGATCATACCCGTTTATGTTGGGTTTATTTGATGAATGAAAAGTCGAGGTTGAAAAAAATTTAAAAAAATTTTACACAATGGTTGAAACTCAGTTTCAAACAAAAATTAGCATTTTTCACACCGATAATGGAACTGAGTATTTTAATGAAATTTTGGGGAGTTTTTTGAAAGAAAAGGGTATCCATCATCAGTCTACATGTGTGGATACCCCTCAACAAAACGGAATTGTTGAAAGAAAAAATAAACATTTACTTGAAGTGGCTCGTGCTATAATGTTTTCAATGAATGTTCCAAAATATCTTTAGGGGGAAGCTATTTTAACATCAGTCTACATGTGTGGATACCCCTCAACAAAACGGAATTGCTGAAAGAAAAAATAAACATTTACTTGAAGTGGCTCGTGCTATAATGTTTTTAATGAATGTTCCAAAATATCTTTAAGGGGAAGCTATTTTAATAGTTTCGTATGTGATTAATAGAATGCCTTCACGTGTTTTAAAATATAGCACGCCATTAGAATGTTTCAAAAGAAATTTTTCATTATCAAGGATATACTCGGATTTACCTCTAAAGATTTTTGGCTGCATAGCTTTGTTCATATACCTAATAATACTTGGTCCAAACTTGATCCTCGAGTTGAAAAATGTGTTTTCATAGGATATGCTTCTAATCAAAAGGGATATAAGTGCTATAATCCCCAAAAAAGAAAATTTTATGCACTTACGGATGTCTCTTTCTTTGAAAATAAATCATACTTTCCCAAAAATTCTCTTCAGGGGGAGAATGAGGTGATGGAAGAAATTTTTTGGAATTTATCTCCTACTCCTTTACCAAATGTGATTTTGACTCATTCACCTCATCCTACTATTATTCCCGAAATTCAAAGTCAGGAACAATGTGATAAAACCAATGAAAACAATGAAGGGAATCCTAGTCATATAGTGCTAAACATTACTGTATCTGAAACAGGGGAAGAATCACTACAACTGGGCACTAAAGTTCCCAATACTGAGCCTCTGGTTTATACTCGGAGAATACCTCATCAAAAGAGTCAAAGTCAGCCTATTCCTCTTGGAAATGATCAATCTCAACCTCCGGGTACTGGACCTCCAAATATCACAGGTAATTATGTTTCTAACTCATCTTCAGTTCCTATAAAAAAAAAAGTTCCTATTGTTTCTCCTAACCAAGAACCATTAGACCTTGATATTCCTATAGCTGTTAAGAAAGGTATTCGAATCAAATATCCCATTGCCAAATACCTTTCTCATGAAAAACTCTCTCATAGTCATAGGGCTTTTACCTCAAAAATCTCACACTTGTTTGTCCCGAGAAACATTCAAGAAGCTCTTGATGATCCGAATTGGAAGTTAGCAGTGATGGAAGAGATGAATGCTCTTAAAAGAAGTGGTACTTGGGAGATGATTGATTTACTTAAGGAGAAAAGAACAGTACACTGCAAATGGGTCTTTACTGTGAAATGTAAAGCTGATGGTAGCATAGAGAGGTACAAGGGAAGACTAGTAGCAAAAGAGTTCACCCAGACCTATGGAATTGATTATAAAGAAACTTTTGCTCCTGTAGCCAAGAAAAACTCAATCAGAATTTTGTTAGTTTTTGCTGTAAATTTCAGCTGGCCATTACACTAGTTAGATGTAAAAAATGCCTTTTTAAATGGAGATCTTGAGGAAGAGGTCTTTATGAATCTACCACCTGGGTTTGAGGAAAAATTGGGGCCTAATAAAGTATGTAGACTGAAAAAATCTTTATATGGTCTCAAACAGTCCCCTAGAGCTTGGTTTGAGAGATTTGGGAGAGTTGTGAAGAATTGTGGCTACTGTCAAAGCCAAGCTGACCATACCATGTTCTATAAACACAGTAGAGAAGGCAATGTTGCAGTGTTAATTGTCTATGTGGATGATATAGTCTTGACAGGTAATGATAATGAAGAATTGGAGAGACTGAAAAAGACATTTGCAGCTAACTTTGAGATCAAGGATTTGGGTGCATTAAAATACTTTCTTTATGAATGGAGTTTGCTAGATCCAAAGAAGGTATATTTGTGACAATAAAGCTACTATTCCGATCGCTCACAATCCAGTGCTTCATGACAGAACAAAGCACATGGAGGTAGACAAACACTTCATCAAGGAAAAGCTCGACAAAGGATTGATCTGTATGCCGTAAATTCCTACTACCGAGCAAGTTGCAGATGTGCTTACAAAGGGACTTCCTACAAGACAGTTCGACAAACTAATTGGCAAGCTAGCTATGGAGGATATCTTCAAACCAGCTTGAGGGAGAGTGTTAAAAAGGAAAGATTCGGTAGTAATACTACCATATATTATTAGCTGTAAATATAATATTTGGAGGATATTTGTTGTAAATAGAATATTGGTCAAATGCTGTAAATTAGGAAATTATTAATTAGGCCAGCTAGTTATGTGCATGTATTTTCTCCTATAAAGAGAACCCGTGTAAACTTGTGATGTGTGTGCTAATACAGAGAAAAGGTTTATTCCATATTTCTTTCCTTTCAAGTTTATACTACTCAATTTCATTTTCAATACGGCACAACCAAGGTGTTGTTTGATAACCCAACTCAGTACTTAATTCTCAATAGATCAAGTGTGTTTGATAACACAATTTGAATACCCTAAAAAATTAAGTCCCACTTAATATGGAGTAAAATTTTAAGTCACAGCGACGTTGCTTGTCGCTGAACATTAAAATACAAACAAATGTCAAAGAAATGCTCAATTTACAACTAGCACTTAAAACATCAGCACTAAAAATTCAGCTCTTAAGATTTTTAGTACTTAATTTTTAGTTTTATCAAAAAAAAACCCCAAGTCTTATAGGATTTTAGACATCATAAATATAGCTTCCCCTCTCAAAGTTTTGAAGAGGTTATCTTGAAAGACATGGATAGAAATCCTCATTTAAAATCTTAAACTACCAAATAAAATTCTGATATCAACTTAAAATTTTGATGAAAATGCTTCACACATTTGATTCCAGTGCGATCAATAATTTGAAACTAAAAATTGTAGATCAGATAAAGAATTACTCTTAACCCAGTCTATATAAAAGAAACACAATAAAAGGTTGATATAGAGGAGCAGTGTGAAATATGCCTCAGCTAATTGCTATATCAGGTTCCATTTATACCCCATCACAGGGTTGGCCACTATTATAAACATGACAAAATAAAATTATAGGAGATGAATTTGTCCAATTCGGTATAATTATTTTTAAACAGATGCTTCATATTATAACTATTGCCGTGCAAGGCCATTCGGTACCCTTACAATTGCAAACTCATAAATCGAGTTTCGTGCATACACCAGACTAGCTGCCACTTAGAGCTTGTCTAATGACCTAAAATATGGTATTTTATGAATGACGCTAGTGGAGATGTCTACTGAGCCATATTCATCAAGTAAACAGCTGTATAGACTTGTAATTCAATCAACAGCACCTTAATTGGTTCTTTAGTTCTACAAATTTGTATGGATTTCAAACTTCTTCACTTGTGTAGGTTCTCTCACTAATTTGAACAAAGTTCGGGTTTCTCAACAATAGGTCATTTTGGTTCCTAAAATTTAGCATGTGCTCACAAATTTGATTAGAGAATGAACCAGTGCAAGAGAATTCCAAGATTCTGGAAGTTGGGTAGCTTATTGCAAACAATATCATTTCTACTTCCCGGTTGCTCCAATTCTAATCATTTTTCTCTCTTCAGAGATTGAGCTGGAGCTATGTTAAGAAGCAAAACTTGTTAGGAAGGATATGTCCCAATGTTTGGTTCTTCAGTATCATGTCCTTGCTAAATTATTGCTACTGTTATTGCTGCTATTTAGGACATGACATATAAAACAGTATACGTTTTCAACATGAAGATACAAAATAATAATAATAATCATAAAAGGACTAAATAAAGAAGAAATCATTTAACATGAAAATGGATTTAGCTTTTATTCTATGTATAGAACCTAAAGCTCCAGAGTGAACCTATTAGTTCCAATGCCAATGCTCAATTCCAAAGCATTGCTGTTAATCTGTCTTGCCCACAGTCCACAAAAAATATCATGGTTACTGTAGAATTTAGTGAAGCAAAACAGAACGAGATTTGAGAAAATGAATGCAGGCACAGCTGGCAATGCTTTAATTGGGCTTTTGGAGGGTACGGAAGGATATAAAATGAGGTACTAAACCATAATACAACCAGAAATGGAAATTTGCTAAACCAATCATGGTGACTACTTTCAAGGTGGGGAGATGGGGGTTAAGAACTTTCATGTTGATAGAGGACTACTAATTTATATTACAAATTTACAATAAGCAAGCAATCAAGTGGCAGTATTGAATGCTTATTCGTATCTATATTGATTAATCCTAGACTCCTAGTCTGAGCATTATTTCCTTGGTTTATGCATAATGGGTTTACCCTCTAAAACCATATTGGAGGTCGTATTTGAATACAACAAGCACACTTATCGCACAAGAAAGTTACAGGGAATTGATTAGCCTAGATCTTGTATTTGTTCTTGAAATTACCTTCTATTAACAAAGTTGACATGACCAGGTCCCGGTAGGCATACTAAATCACCAAATACAATACTAGAGTTGATTAACAAATGTAAAGAAGATAAACAACACAGATATGAAAGATCAACATGACCAGCATCCGTAAAGAAAATTTTGAACTAACAAATTTGGAAAATCATCATTTGTAATAGTAAAACTACATATCTACTTTGGAAGGTAGAGTAGATACCATAAGGCTACAGGCCTTAGTGGTACATAGCATACAATTTAAATCAAGAAGTTGTTCAGAATTGAGAAACAAAACAAAATCAAATCAAATTAATCAATAAGCAATTTCATAACAATGAAACCTAGTCACAGAACAAATTTAGACTATGCAACTCGAAGACTAAGCAATGACACCTAATGAACGAATCAATCTCTAGTATTTATTTACATACATATAATACTGTAAGTTTTTTTTGATAAGTAACATACATATAATACTATAAGTAAACATATCTATTCAGGATTATTCATAGTATGCTATTTTTGGCCCAAGAATTAGGGTGATTTCACTTAAGAATTTGGGAAAAGCGATTAAAAAGAAAGAAAGAGTCTGAGCATTATTTAGGGTGATTGAAGTAATAAGTGAAAATAAATAATTAGAATATCGTGTTACCTGTAAATCTCTGAATAATCACCAAGAAATATGTAAAAATAAATATATTCATTCAATAATTTGGGAACGTCAATTAAAATTAACGAAAGAAATTATTAGAATAAAATCTATACTGAGGTAATTAGTGAAATAATATATATATATATATATATATATATATATATATATCAAAAAGTTCGTTATTACCTGTAAATCTCCAATTGATTACCAATAAATACGTAAATTTCACTAAACAATTTGGAAAGACCTATCGAAATGAACGAAAAGAGTAAAATTTATAGTGAAGTAACGAGTGAAAATAAAGAAGATAGTTTATTACCTATAAATCTGCGATTGATTAAGGAGAAACATGCAAGTATTCGCAGTTGGCAGGAGTTGAGACAGACGATATGGAGAGAACAATATGCAGCGGTGAGATGGAGTCGACATCAGAATCCCATAGTCGAACTCCACGGCATTGGACAGCAGTCTCTTTCCCTCTCTCTACCAGGAAAATTGAACTAATAGCCGGTTACCTGAGAATTGAGATCGATGCTTCTATGTTGACTTTGCTAATATGTTATTTATTTATTGGGAAACTTACAGATACATGAACTTTGGGAGGGAAATTAACACTTATGTAAGTCAAACTTCACCTAAATGAAATTTTACCAGTTTGACTTCAGTTAAATATAAATTATTCTCACCAAGTTCATGCATATGTAATTTCCCCTTATTTATTTATTTTTAATCCCTTCATCCGCTCACTTTGCTTCTGCAAACACTTGGCTATTGATTTAATGCCTAAGTTGGTACAAATGAAAATGGAAATCAAAATGGAAGGAAATGGAGTGAAATAGTCATTTTTATTCTATTGATTTAAGGCCTAATTTGGTACAAATGGAATGAGTAAGAATAATATTTGGGTCTTCTCTAGAAATATGTGCTCCAATGTAATTATGACACTTGTCTAAAAAAAAAAAAAAATTCAAAGATGAACTCACCCATTTTGTACGAATTAAACCCCTTTTTTTTCTTTTTCTTTTTATTATTTCCATAAACGTTTTTTATTTCTTATTTTTCTTTCCATCTTAATCACGGTCATCTACCTCTCTTCCTTTCCCTCCACAGCAAAACAAATCCTTTTTAGCTCTAATATTATTGTATAACGATCTCTTTTTTAACCCTAATATTATTGGTTAGCGATTCTTTTTTATTTTTTAATTTTTATTTTTATTGATATATAGATAAATAATTATTTAATGAAAATCAATAATAAGAAAACCTTATTGTTTTGCTTCAATAATAAAAGTTTTCATCAACTCTGCATCAATCAAGAAGGATAGATGGTTATTGAGGGGATACTTCAAATTCAATCAATGTTGAGTTTACTTTCTAGAGTTGCAAGAAATAAGGTTTAAGTTCACTTAACAATTTAGTAGAATATATCATATATGTGTAAACTATTTACATGGACTACAATAAAATGATGAACTTCACCCTCCTAACCTAAAATATTGTCCTTATTTTATTGTAAATAAGAAATGATATATGAATGAAATGATATATGAATGAAATGATAATTACTATTTTAAGTGGAGGTGGTGAAAGACGGAAGCGGCACTGGAAGGCAGCGGCGGTGGTGGAAATGTGATGATTTTTATAACTAAAAAAAAATATTTAATTAAGTTTTATTTTTTAAATTTACTTGGAATGAAATGATAATTTCACAAGTTTGTTAAATGAATTTTCATTCCAAAAGAAAGTTCATTCCCATTTTAAATCGTATTAAACAAATTAATGGTTGAAATGAGTATTTTATCACATTCCATTAATTTCCTTTCAAGTGTACCAAAGTAGGCCATTTCATTGCCAAATATTAGGGACTTCATCATTTTCCTTAAACACATCGCCAAATTATATTAATATGTCAAGAAGAATTATATTTGTCCATAAAAAGGAACTCTTCTATTTAAGAAAAATTATTAGATGTTTCGGAACTATGTGATCCCGTCAATCATAAGTTGTCACACACTAAGTTACATAGAGCAAGTGTGTGAGTAAGAGAGCAAAAACAGCAAAATCTAAAATTTGGTTAGAGCAGTAGCGCCTCCAAAGTGCTTATATACTTATGCGCTATTAAATATGTGTGTATGTGTAAAAATATTTTCAACATTTGTACATTTGCTAAAGACTATATACTTTGTGGAATAATAAAAATGTAATTTCACTATAATGAGAAATGCATTTGAGTTATATTAATCTTATTTCTTCTATATTTGAACATACATAATTAGTAATAATATTTAAAATACAAAATTAAAATGTATTTTTAAATATATAGTAAAAATTGTAACGTGAAAAATCTATATATTTATTATAGATTTTTAAGGATATATTGTTTACTGAATTTGAAGATTCGGTAAACTGAATTCAAAGATTGACATAATTGAATTGAGAAATTGAGAAGGAATCATGTGTAGTAGGTGATCCAATAAAAAAAAACTTACACCCGTGAAAGTTTGTAATTGACCGGATCATTACCATTAAATATTTTTCGCCCTTATTATTGGCTTGCGTACTTTGTATAATATATTAAAAATAATAATTAAAATGAATGGAAAATAAACTAATTTTTGGTGGGTGACACCAAATCAAATAATTGACATTTCAAACGCCTCATAAGATTATTTAGCAGATTTATTCCTAGGTATAAATTTGGGTATTTTTCATGCCTGAAATTCTATATCCAATAATCTATACCCACCCAGAGTGCGACATTGTGTGGTTGCTATTCTATAATTGACAATTACATTTTGAGATTACCAAATTATGTCTTGATTTGAAAATTTTAATGAGTTTTTAATAAGGACTCTAGATTGTTTATTAGGTCACCTTTTTAATTAATTTTGTATATTAGGCAAAACTCTTTGTAAAAATAAATTCCAATGCTCAACCATATTTATTAAGGAAAATGATTTCCTATGTGATGTAAATTAATTTTCGTTCTCTTTTAAGTTTATAACGGTAAAAAAATAAATTAAATTTGTTACTTCATTTAGCTCACAACGGTCCAATTTTAACGTTTAATAAAAGACCCCACTGTATTCAAATCTTTAGTCCCCTATAAATAACATAACCAATTTCATCATAAAAAGTTTCACATTGTTAGCATTAGTTAGATGGTCATTTGCTATTACTACAGTAGAATTATAAGGAGAGCTCCTACGGTAAGGCCGCGTCACATGTGATTACCACCTCTTCCCGCGAGGATTCTGGCGCGAATCTGACCTGGCAAGCAGACACATCAGCATCCAGCTCAGCTTTCCCGCCAGAAACCCCAGTATACCTACCCTTCCTTCCCTTTCCCCAATCCATCGCCGTCACTGTAATTTCATCCGATCGAAAAACTCTATTGCTCGGCAATGGAGTCCTCAGAGTCGTCACCGTTCGATTCGTTCAAGTCAAAGAAGGTATTCCATTCGGTCTCCAAATCATCACAGTCCGATCAAACGACCAGAGCTTCGGATCAGAATCCATGGAGCTCCAAAACCCCCGAGAAGCCGACGGACCCTCCTCGCCGTGCTCGAAACCATCTCACCGCAATGTCGATAAAAGAAGTGAAACAGTTCGCGAAAGGGCTCCAAAAATCGAATCAGGACCGACCTATTCGGAGCGACCAAATCAGTTCTGCCAGACAGCAGATTGCGTTGCAGCGGAGCAAATCTCCGGCGGCAAAGTCGAAGAAGGTTGACAGCTCGATGAAGCTTCCGGAGAAGTAAGTTTTTTTGCATATTCACTCATCTTTTATGGATCGTATTTAGTAAATCTCTCGTGATGTTTACTAGAGTCTGGAAAATTGAGATTATGAAAATTTGAAAAGGAATTGGGGGTTGTCTGGTCTTGTTTGGTAAATTTATTGAGTAATGGATTATAGTCAATATTTAGTGATGGTGTTTGTGTTTATAGATTTGAAAAATTAGGGATTTTCTATGTCATTTTGTCGAATTAGTTGAACCAGTCTTTTAATATGTTGTTGCATTCGCATATTCCTCAAATAGTGGAAAAATATGATTCTGTTTCATTAAAACATTGAGGGTTTTAAATTTGCATGGTTAATAGGATTTTGATTTTGATTTTTTTTTTTTTGGTGTCTCCTTTGAAATATTTGATTAATAGCTGTCTGCTGGTTTGGTGTATATTTTGTTGATATTGTTATATTTTGTTTTCAGATATGAGATTTTGAGTAAGTTCTTTGATAGCTTGGATTGTTCAATCCGGCTGCTACGGTTGAAGGGAATGGTGTCAACATTTACAAACATTAGCCCCAAAATTGAGTACTTGACCGATAGGTACTAAAATTTTGTTGTAAGCAAGTTTTCGGATTATATTATCAATATTATTTCTATTAGTGTATAATTTTTACTAATTTAATGTTTTGATTTGATCTTTAGGAGATTTTCACAGGGTCATTTAGCTCAATTAAAATTTATATTACCAGAGGTGATTGAGATAAATAAGGTTCGTATTCACAATGAGCACACAGATTGCAAGACTTCAGATCTTCACGTTACCCTGAATGTCGATGCAATTGGGAATGATGGGAAGCTGAAAACAGATAGTGGGAGTTCACATGCGAGGAAGGCCTTTCGTGCTCGACTTATGGATTTCTTCAAATCCCATCCCGAGGTATACATGTTTTATACTTTTAAGTGCTATATATATGAAGTGGTTCAACTTTTGCTTCCTTTGTATGCAAATATGCAATGTTCACATCAGTCTTATTTATGTTTGAGGACTAGCAACAGTCCATGCTGTTTTACCCTTAAAGTTGTATCAAGTTTCAATTTTATTTTTTAGATTTTTTTGAGCCATATATGAAAGCTGAATAGCTTTGTTTTACTGACTATCGAAATTGTGCTTGAAAATTTGGAATTGGCCCAAAAAGGAGGAAATAGATTCCTTAAAACACTGGCAATGCAATCTGGTTCTGTTTTGATCTGGTTTTTTACAAAATGGTGTGTTGTTAACAGTGCCAATTCTGCATTCAGGGGGATGAAGTTCCGGAGGAAGCACTTCTGGAGCCGTTCAATCAGTCAAAGCCAGGTGCACCTTCAGAGCATCATCCGGCAGCACCCGCATCCCATCTGTCTCAATCTTTCCAGAGGCGCTTTTCACAGAAAGGTTCATGCCCTGAAGCATCGAAAACCAACCAAAAACCATCAACAGCGCCTCTTCAACCTTCAGTTCTTCCAGTTTTGGGACTACAACTTGACCAGAATTCTAAAGAAGAAACCACTGCATCTGCTGCTCCATCTCCCATTAAATTTTCTTTGAATTCAACCACTAGTGGAAAATGTTTAGAATCTAGGGCCTCTCTAACTTGTCAATCATCATCTCGTGTGCCTACAACTCCAATCAAAGAGAGAGATTCCACAAAGACTGAAGACTGTTCTTCCATGGGAACTGATACCATCCAATTCACTCCTGCAAAACTTGCTTCAACTCCAGCAAAGCTGATGAATACAACACCTGCGCTGCAACCACCAAAGAGGAGCTGTATGAGCCCAGATGATGATTCAACCAGCTCGCCAGTCAAATTAGTTAGGCGTCCACCCCGAAGTAGGTCATTGAAATTTGACACTCCTGTGAAGAATGCAAAGGTCGATGAAGTCGATGAGATTGGAGGATTATCAGATGACAATGATATTTTTGAAATTCTTCCCGAGAGTCTTCTACAATCGGTAAGCCCATCATGATTTTCACTTTGTCAATCCTTTCCAGAGCATGTTCTTTGATTGTTCCACATGCTGATGGCATTTATTAGTTTTATTTGACTTGATAGTTATTGTCGTTTATCTAAATTTCAGTCCCTTTTATATGTCCATTGAAAATTAAATTAGGGATAGGAGATCAAGAAGAGACTTGCAGTATTGTGATTGTGTGCTACTATCAGTTGAATAATAATTTGCATGATACTCGCTTAATAAGGTAGAGTTGTGTTGTCTCCCTACTGATAAAAATCAACTTCCCATAATATATACATACATATATATATATATATATACACAGAGAGAGAGAGAGAGAGAGAGAGGACAGCCATCTTCATTTGTTTTGAGGACTTGTAGAATTTAGTTTTTCATAAAGTATGAATTTCTTGTCTAAAAAATGCAAAGTGTTTTTACTGGAAGCATTTCTTGTATATACTTGCCATATGCAACTTTGGATGTGTTTTGCTGAAAATAACAGGCTGTGTGCTCTATTGACGCTACTGTTTCTTTACATATTGTTAAAGAGACAAACGTTGTTAAATCTATTGTGACAACTACAGGATTGTGGTACATCTGAGGCAAGAAACTAACTGCATTTTCACACTGCAGATAAGAGAGAAAGAAAGAAAATCAATAGAGGATAAGGATCCAGCCATCTCACAAGCAAAGTGGCGGAGGCAAATGATTGCCAGCTTACCTAGGCTCTTCGACATGATTCGTTTACTATTTCAGTCAATTAACCGTTCTCTTATCACAAAAGAGGAGCTTATACACAGGATAGTTGCATGCCATATGGATATTGTTGACAGAAGTAAGTCCTAATTCTTGTCAATGGGAACATAGATCTCTTCTGATGTTACTAGGACTGTTCGAGTTAATTCCTCCTGTTTTTTATTACCAGGAGAAGTCGAAGAGCAGCTCAGATTGTTGCAAGAAATAGTTCCAGAATATATTTATGAGAAGGTGGCATCAACAGGGGATATTCTTATATGGTAAGTCTATGTTTTGTGCAATTCATGGAGTCCGTCCAAATGATCTGGCCAATTGCTACATTTATATTTTGGTAGTGTTTGAGTTAAAATTTCTTCTTTGGCAGTGTCAATAAAATATCGTGCCCTGAGGCAATGCGTGCAGCACTCGCAGAAGTGAAGTGAAGAAATGCCCAAGGCGAAGTGATAATTGAGACTCAACTTTCTAACTTATTGAAAGAAGCATGCTAGTGGTGTTCAATATGTACTCTACACTTGCTATTTTGTAAATTCCTGTTTTGTTTGACGCCTCATCTAGTTTCAGACCCTTTGAGTATGGGCTAAATTTCAAGTGTCTGTTGAGATGCTTTCCTCTTTTTTTATATGTATATATTTTCCTGCAATTGGAACTTGGAAGTTGCTCAAGCATGAATCTGGAAGCTTATATGATGCAATACTCGCTGCCATTAATTGAAAATTGTGATAATGCCTTTTGAGAGGATGTGTTTCCCACCTACCATTTTTTGGAACGAAAGTTTGGAATTAGTGGTATGCTATAAATTGTGCCCATCCAGGGTCCAAGCATGAGCTTCACATCTAGAAGACCACAGTCCATGTGTATCTACGCATATTTGATATCACATGAGCTTAGGGTTCTAATTTAATGCAGTTTACTCTTGAGATTTAGAGAATCTGTTGTAGAATCTTCTCCAGTGCACCAGATGATTCCGTGCAATTTAAGTTCTGCAGCACAATTTACTTCGAAGGCAACACATTACATCAAGATTCAATACTCAAACACCATTAAATCTCCGTAATGCATCATCATCCATTTAGGAAATAATATAGATTTTAATTGGGAAGTTTAATTTCTTGTAAGGTTGTATCCGGGTCGATAATGCCTAAGAAATCCAACTTCTGCCAATAAAAAATCTAAATTGTACTGTTCTCTATTAATTATCAACAAGAAATGAATAATCATGAAAGTACTCCAATGAGATCAGGTCAAGAATCAAGAAGCACCAACCAACTAGGTACTAACTTGGTGCACTCATTTTTGTCTTGGCTTCCGAATGTGTCATGCAGAAATGGACCAAAAACTTCTTGAAGTAACCGTCCGCTTTTGTCTCTAACAATTGTATGTGGCCACCTGATATATCCCAATATTCCAATTCCACCCTCCACAAAATTTGTGATTTTAGTAACCGCAGTTCACTAAAGATTTTTGTTAAGTTTGTGGATGCTAATATGCGCAGTGTCATCTCTATAAACTGCAATAATAATCATGGACAGAATAGTCATTTTAGCATCAGTCACTCTCAAAGGTGAAAGGACTATGTCTATAAACTATAATAACTGCATTCTATCTTACAACTTTGAAGAAGACTCCAATGGGAGTTTTGGAAATGATTTCACATAAATACATGATATAAAGATACCAAAGGTATTAAAAAACAGACAGTATTGTGTGGGTAATAAGGTGAAGGTGAGGAATTAAGGAGATGGATATGAGGAGGAGGGAATTGATGTATGCCTTTAGAACACCCCAACACCCTTCTTTAGGGACTAACAACTGGGGCGGTGCTTCTCCGTTGTTGGCAAGAGACATATCCAAGGAATCCCTTGAACAGAGGTACCTAAGGCTCAACACCATTCGAACCCGAGACGAAATCTTTCCAGCAGGAGATGATGGTTCCATCCACTTGCCTCATCACACTACTCAAGCTCCTCCCACGCCAAGTCGACGCAGGGGATTTCTGTCGAAGCTGTTTTGGCCAAAGAGGGAGAAGACCACACTAGGTTCCACTACAAAGAAAAGGATGAGATTGTTCCCTAGATGGGACCCAAAAAATAGATGGCCTCAGGGTTGGTGCTGAATGTTTGATCAACTTTCTTGCATTCAGAATTAATCCCAATATGTAAAGTAATAACATCATGATGTGACAAGGATGATTTGGTTTTTGGCATTTGGAAGAAGCGTATGGATTTCAAGGCAGCAGCAACAAATTAAGGCAAGCTGGAAGAAGAGCTATATGTGTATTGATGCTTATGATATTTCAATTGGAAACCTCTTGTAGATGTTTTGTAAACAAGACCAAATTGGTGATCATTTATCATGGATTCATGATCATTTTTCTAGTCCTCTTCTGTATTTTTATTTATTCTAAACCTAGCCCGGAAATGCTTGTATAATAGCACAGTCACTTCAATGAGAGAGAATTATGTGACTTAAAGCTTCTAAACTATTCATATCCAATCTTTTTCAATACACTGAAAATAGAGGTGGGGGTGTCCCTTAATTCTCATTGTTACTGGCTAAAACCCTAACATAATCTTCTTGCTCATCAGTTCATAAAGTCATTGGTGGATCCATCTACTACTCTTGCAATGCAATTTAGGGTGACAAAGGAGATGATTCCAAAGGATTTTGGAGAGGATTTAATTTATGAGATAACAAACAAATAATTTTTAGTTTTTCTTTCTTTCTAACAAATAATAATATTTAGTTAGAAAATTAGGAATTGTTGCAAAAATTAATTAAAAAGAAAGATCAAATACACACCAAAACACATTTGATTTTTACGTGGTTCACTCCAAGAATTAGAGTTATGATCATAAATTTCAGGGATTTCACATGTAATATTCAAAGTTCAAAATGAACAAATACCTTCTCACTTGGTAACATAACAAGCACATAAATAAAATAAAATATCCACTAAAAAATTAGGTTGGGGACAAACAGCCAAATCTAATTTTAGGGTAAGACCGTTCGGCTTCCTGCAACCCACATCAATTTCTTATGAAATTGGGCATTGATATATAATATTTATCAAACTCACGTTACCAATCAATAATATCTACAAATGATATTGCAAAAAATCAGAAACTAAAAATCTTTACACAAGTTTCATTTAAAGCACAAATGGTTTATTCTTAATATAGGAACAAGGAGAATATATATATATATATATATATATATATATATATATATATTAAAAGAAGAAAGAACTAAAACCGAAAATTGATAACCATTGTGTTCCTCTACCGGTCAACATTCATCGAAGATAAAAACAAATAACTACATTATGTGATGAAAAATATTTAAAGTTTAATATTGTCTTGTAATATTATCATCATTTTACAAAGCATATTTATTTAATACTAAATAAATGCAATTATTTGAAACAACCGTTCACGTCGGTTGGGTAGTGCAATTTTCTTTAAAACTAGGAGAAGTCGTGAAGCAAAACCTCCAAGTGAAGCAAAACCCTAGATCTCTCTCTCTCTAAAATTTGTCTCCAAGAAACTCTGCAATTGATATCGTCGCAATTGATTCTCTATTTTCTACCTCCTGTTCATTTTTTTTCTCAAAATCCGAAACCCTAATAGCAAATAAAGAAACTCTCCATTAGCTCTCTCCATTGTCATTGACCGCGCCACAGTTCCCTTGAAGGACCAGCTTTATTGAGCGGCAGTAGGAGCCCTGTAGAACGTCAGGTAAATTCTCTCTCTCTCTCTCTCTCTCTCTCCTTTTTTTTTTTTTTCGAATTTGATTATTTGTATACATGAATGTCTATAGATATATGTCTAAATCAGGGTTTTTTTTTTTTTTTTTTTTTTTTTTTTTTTTTTTTTTTTTCTGTTGGTTTAAGTTATTGTGCTGTCTGTTTTTCACTCCCTCGCTTCGCTCTCAACCGAAGCAGCTCCCCAAAATTAGGTTAATTGTGCAATAATTTTATACGTATTTGTTATTGTTGTTTGAATTACTGGATTTGCCAAAACCTTTAGTAGCACGATGCTTTGTTTTTTCCCCTAAACTTTGAATATAAATTGTAAGTGATTTTTTTTTTTTCCTGGCAGAATGGATTAGATACATCTACTTTTGTTGTTACCATAACACACCCATGTATGCATATTTTCTGTTCATTGCACATTTGCCTCCAATTGGGTTTTCTTGATCTTTCTATCGTTGAAAATTATTATTGCAATCGATAGTCATTTTTGGAATTTATATATTATTCCCTAAAGATGTGTTTCCTTTTCATTCTTCACATAACAAAAGTTCCTAATACTAATAAATTTGTTGGGTTTCAGATTCATTATGAAAAATCTTTCATGTTAAAATTTGGAACAGATTTTCTGAACTGATTATTTCCATGCTCTATCCAGCTTATCCAAACAAGAAGGTATCTGGACTTATTTATTTATTTTTTAAATGTAGTTGGTATCTGAACTTTTTCTTCCTAAGACTTGGAAATGAGGAACTTAGTGATCCTTAGGGCCTGTTTGGCAACTGTTTTTGTTGTCAAATCGATGAAAAACATAAACAACATATCTCAATTCAGCTTCAGTGACAATCAGCAAATCATCAGCTTAAAACAAGTGCATAAAGAAGAATTCATTCTTCTAGCTGAGCGTCAAGGCTTGAGACACCCCACTACAAAGATCTCAAAGGGTTCATCTGAAGATGATGGAATCCCAGGCCTGTCGCTTAGAGTGAAGAAGCCCTTTCTGTAATTTGAGAGTCGTCAAAGACACAATCAAAGGCATCACTCAAGCTGAAGCGCAGCTGGTTTTGTTCGATCTGATTGTGAGGTTGTAATTGATGTCGACATTGGTGGCGGAGGAGATATGAAGCACTCAAACTAAGCACAAAGGATCCATTCCATACGGAATAGCATGAGCTTCAGGGGGCTTCAAGGGGGGTTCACAGCATCAACAAAGTAGATGTTTTCACTTGTTTTTGCTACTGTAGCTGAACAACTGTGGTGATAAAATTTTTTTTTTATTTTTAAATTCCAATATAATGGCAAAACTATATATATATTTAATACAAAGTTCCAAAATTGAGGTTATTTTTTTTCGCTTTGAAACATGGTGCAACAAATTTAGTTACCAAACGTGTTTATGTTTCGTAAAAAATCACAGCACAACAAGAACATTAATTCTGCTCTATATAAAATTGGAAATACAAAACAAAAATGGTTGCCAAACAAGCCCTTAATTTCTTGGTATATGGTTTTAATATTAACCATTGCGACTTGATTTTGTTCGTGTGTTTAATACCTTAATTTTGGTTTTCTTAAATCATCACAAATAAATTGTTATTCTGTTCAACTTTTCAGAAATCTGAACCTGAAATGTGAAAGTGTTATTTTGAAGGCTAATTTAACAATTGACTGATTTATGTAATGGTTTAGTGTAGGTGCTATGTAAATCTCTTTACAGAGAGAGAACTGGAGTGTAGTACTGAAATAAGAAAGCACTGTAACTATGTTAATTTTTTTAACATTTTAATTTAAAATAACATCATATATCTCTTGGACACATCAGTTATATGGTCCATAGTTGAATCAGAAAGGGTGGTCCACTCATTGAGTTTGAGGCTTTCTTTAACTTTATATTTTTTTAGCTTACAGGCAATTTTATTAGATTCAAAAAAATGCCAAGGTGTTTTAGCATAGTGGTAAAAGTTTTGGCATGGCATCCCAAAGAGAAGGGTAGAGTTAGGGGTTTGATTCCCCAATTGCCTTGTCTATTAGACTATTACATTCTTAAAAAATTTGAGATCTATGATTAAAAGTTATAACTCCTTCGGATTCAATGAACCAAATAAGAGATACTTTATGCCTGAGTTCTTGCTTTTTTCTATTGATAAGAGAGTTTCTTTTTTTTCTTTTTTTCTTCCTCTCATTTTTTTTTTTTTTTAAATAAAAAATATATTATGCTTTGTTGGTTTTCTTCTAGCAACTTGGCCTGAAAATGTTTTTTTTTTTTTTTTTTTTTTCATGCTCTATTGCAGATATGTATGATAATCTGGGAACGCAGCCTGGACTGCCAAGAGCACCAACAAACCCACAACAAAATCCATTTGAGAATTCATTCTATGGAGCTGGTTCAGGACTAATCAGAGGTGGACTGGGTGCTTATGGAGAGAAAATTTTAGGATCAAGCTCTGAGTATGTGCAAAGCAATGTAAGTAGCATGTCGAGGTTTTGAAATTCTGAACTCCAGCTATTATTTGTATGGAAAGCTTTAAAGGGGTTTGAAATATTAGGGGGTGTTTAGAAACTAAGTTACTTCTTTTAAACTTTACATATATTAATAAAAGAGGCTTTAAATGTAGAAAGAAGAAGAAGATAGAAAAAGGATGAAACAATGAGTAAATTATGATAGATTTGAAGATTTTTGTTGAATTAGTTGCGGGAAGTGAGGTTCCATCAGCTGGCAACTCTTACATATGCAATCGAATCTCTATCTAATTTAAGCATAAGGCTGGTAGCAAGTATAATTTATTTTTTTCTTAAAAGAGTTGAGAGTAAAGTTAATTGGATTTTAACAATAAGTTGAAAATGAAGAAGATAACATAAAAACCATTAGCAAGAGTGTATTCCATAAATTTTATCTCAATTCTTAACCATCTCCTCCAAGTTCTATAATATATCCAATTATATAATAGTTTAGAATTTCTGTTATGCTACTGCCTATCGGGTGGGACAGTTTACTGGAGCTTCCAAGACGTTTCAGCAGATGTTCTGGGTACCAAAATCTTTCCTATGGCAAATACACATGCTTTCTGATGTGGGTCTTGGGCTTCTAGGGAGCTCTGTGGCCCTTGTTCCATTATGCCAAATGATGCAGAACTTTATTCAATGATAAAGTCATTGAATGTGATCTTGTCACCATTAGTCTTTCTAAGTAGGACTTTGCATGTGATCTTTTCATCATATCAAAGAAACTTATATCATTTTGTATATGATTTTGAGGTTCTCCATTCACAATTGTTTCTTCAATGTACAGATAAGTAGGTATTTCTCTGATCCTCAATACTATTTCCAAGTCAATGACCACTATGTGAGGAACAAATTAAAGGTTGTTCTTTTCCCGTTCCTGCACAGGGTAAGCACTAATACCACTGACTTCCCCCTCATATGGTTGGCTCACTTGTTTCTTTTTGTAGTACTAAACTTACCCTTAATCCTCTTTCCTTCAGGGCCATTGGACAAGGATAACAGAGCCAGTAGGTGGCAGGCTCTCCTATAAGCCCCCGATCTATGATATCAATGCTCCAGATTTGTATATTCCATTTATGGCATTTGGTACCTATGTCATTCTTGCTGGCTTCTCATTGGGTATTCATGGAAAGTAAGTGTTAGCATAACCAAACTTTTATATATATCTGTAAACAGTTTTATCTTTATTTTAATAGGTGTTTGGAAAACACATGAATGTTCCATTGTCATTTTCTCTGGAAGAGAGCTTTGTTTGTCCCCCATCCCCACCATCACATCTTCCCATCTTGTAGCATTTGCAGTGATTTGTGGTGTTTGGTACTTGGTAAAGACGCAAGGTTCACTAAGCCTAACATATTAGGGTTTTCTTTGGCTTATGATCACATTTTATTAGGGTCGCTAAGCATTTGAGCACTTGCATGGAAGGTGAGGAAGGGACATGATTGTCATCTAGGTGAAGAAACTAAGGCTCTGTTTGTTTTGATGAATTTTTTTTTTTTTCAGTGTTTGGTTGATTTTTAATACTAGAAAAATATTTTTCTGTAAAACTTTTTTCATCAAATCTCCCAAAAATGACTTACCTTCTAAATATTCATAAGGACCATAGGTCATTTTTGGAACTCCACGAGTCTCAACTCTCAACCCTCTCCCAAAACCAATCCACTGATAGAAAGAGGAGAGTGAATAGAAAGCAAACAACTGACTTTTAAATTGTTGCGATGACTTGTATGATGGTCTAGAGAGAGAATTCAGGTAGGTCCTATATTACCCTAATTGGTCTCTTTGTATTCTGTTATATATATTATACACACACACACATATTCATACTGTGCAGTGAAACAAAATGAAGCTTTTTGATTGCTAATTGATGATACAAGTTGTGCATGGGGTGATTGGAGGATTGGTGGAGTTTTTCATGAACAAATTCATCTTCTGTGTGAAAATCCTTATTTTTTATATATCTGCGATTCTGTGTGCGTGTGTGTGCATATTGTGGGTCTTGAATTTTTGAAGATAATGTTTTTTTCTCAAATAACCACAATGGTATTGGCTGTTATAATTGGGGATGGGCCAAGGGCCTTGTAACATCTTTTGGGTTTGGGCTAACTAGGCATGCCTTGGTACAAGCTGTCTAGTTCTTTTGTTTCTCTTTTGTTGTTGGGCCTTTTGTATGGCCCAATTATACTGTACATATTACATATCTATACAAATTGCCTCAATTTCCAAAAAAAAATATAATAAATATAAATAATCATATGATGTCAAGTCCATGATCAAAAGTGACAAATTTCTCCAATATTTCAGTTTTTTACATAATACATCTTTCGAAAACCAAACACCTAATTCTTTTTTTTATTTTTATTTTTTATTTTAGGATTGAAGCCAAACACTGGAAAATAAGATGAAAAAAAAAGAATCATTTTACATGTAAAAAGTTTTTCATAAAAAATATTTTACATTGAAAATGTTTTACTTTGAAACAAACAGAGCCTAAGTGAAAGATGTTGCACTATATGGTGAAGTTGTGGAACTATTGTAACATGCAAAAATGTGTGTTTGGCTGCAAATTTGACAACTGTTTATCAAATGGTATATAAATGGTCTTGGAAATACCTTAGCATTCCGAAAATGTTTGTTTGTTTTTTTTTTTTTTTTTTCCATAATTTTTGCATTATGTGCATTATGAAACATAAGAAGAAGAAGTACTAGTTTATCATATACCTTATTTTCAGTATAGTCATTTCAGATTCTCTATGCACGACATGCTTTCTGATGTTCTGTTATTATGTTTGTGATGACCCCCTTTCTCCTTATGAATCTCAGTATTGAAACTTCTATTTTATTTTTGGAATTTCAATAAGATTATTTTCTTCCGCATGCTGCTGCTCTCTCTCTCTCACACACACAGAAACACACACATCTTTTAAAACGACTCTCCATCTCCTGCAGGTTTAGCCCAGAAGCTTTGAACTGGCTATTCATCAAGGGGTTGGTGGGCTGGTTTTTGCAAGTTTCACTGCTGAAAATGTCACTGTTTTCACTTGGTGGCGGGGAGGCGCCATTGCTGGACATTGTGGCCTATGGTGGGTATAGTTTCATAGGGATGTGTCTGGCTGCCCTGGGAAGAATCTTGTGGGGCTACTCGTACTACTTTTTGATGCCATGGACATGCTTATGCATGGGTATCTTTTTGGTGAAGACAATGAAGAGGGTTCTGTTTGCAGAGGCAAGGAGTTCTGATTCAAGCAAGCATCATTACCTCTTGCTCTTTATTGCTTTAGCTCAGTTCCCACTTTTCTTTTGGCTTGGTAACATCAGTGTTCGTTTGCTTTTTTAGACTGCATCTCTCGTGTTGTTGGAAACAATTCGTTCCATGTCTATAGTATTCTTGAAAGTGTTGCAGGCAATCTTTCACTATTGTGTTGGTGATTTGTTTTGATTTCTGATTTTGGTTTACTCATCATGTCTATATCCTCCTGGACACAGTACTACTGATTAGACAACTAGGAAAAAGTTCTGTACTTTTTGGTGATCAGAAAGACGCAAGGTTTTCGTGTTCCAGAAAGGTTGAAAAGGATTAACCTTTGTCCAGTTTTCATGCATTCTATTTTGAAAGAGGAAGTTTATTAAACTTTTGGATCCGAGAAAGCAACACGGGCTTCTTATTTTGGACCTCCGTTGGATTGGCAGGAGGCCCAAAGTTGGGCGAATGGCAAGTGCATCTGGGCCTTAATGGACCCAGTCCTAGCACCAGAGGGCTAGAGCTGTTATAATGGTCCTTTGTTGGGCTAGACATTGGGTCCATAGGCCAAAATTGTAATATTGGTTACATATGCCGACTTGTTCGATTTATATGAAATTTTATTTTTTCGGTAATTAATTTATCTGAAATATTGCAAAGGTATTGCTAAATATTATATTATATATAGAATAGTTCTCATCGGCCGTCCGATGGCATGATCCTTTTATACTACATTTTTCTACTTTTTGGGTCATCCATTGTATCCTAAAATATGCATGCATTGCACAGGAAAAAGGTATTATAGGAAGAATTTCATATTTAACTTGTTTAGTCAATTGTTGGATTGAGAAAAATCATGTTGAGTCATAATTGAATTAGGCAAAACCTCGAGGTGGGTTAAAAGTGGTTGAAATTTGAATTATTTTTCTCGAAATGATGATGATGTTGTTTCTGAGCAAGTGTACCCTTTAGTACTACATGCATACATGGTGTCCACATTGCACATGGCCAATGTCAATGACTAGCTCCAGGACATTTTTATGAATAGTATTTGTAAACAATGATTTTAGTATTTGCATATTCTCAAGGTTCATGAACTGCCTAACGTGTTTTAACAAAAAAGGACCATGCAATATTTTTTATGAAAATTTAGTAAAAAGTAGAATCAAACGGCTATTGACAGTTAGTTATGGATGAGGAGTGGCATTATAGTTTTTGATATATATATATATATATATGAGAGAGATGCAATGTTGTGGCCATGCTGATCTTAATTTGATTGGCTCTTGAATTGGCCTGACAAGTTAAAAATATCAATCAAATTAAGTTTTGTGTAAGTTATACAAAGTATATGATATTAGGATATAAAATAAGATTAATTTAAAATGCTTTTCATCATTGGATTCCAACCATACTTAAAAATTTGTGGCGTTGGTTGGTGATTGAGTTAGACGACGAGTTAAATTCTTCCAACAAGTGGGATACTTTCGGCTCTCGACATAATCTAATTTATGACACTAAATTCATTCTTATCTTTGATGATATGGATGACTCAACTGAGTTGATGTTGTAGTAGTAATTTTTATTAAGCTATTGGCATCACCACTAATGTTACATATTATACAAATTCGTATTTCAGATGAGAATTCCATTCTTCTTCACGCCCAACTATATTGACTTTGAGAGTCAGAAAAAGACATCAATCACTCATTATTTTGGAGACTAAGAAGTCACCCTCCTAGATTACATGTTAGTAAAAAGCTAAGCTACAGAATCTACTTGGGATGATTTTGGTTTCCAACTCCTCCTATTCTTTCATATATATATATATATATATAGTGAGAGAGAGATGTCCCACTCCCACCATTGTCTTGTTTATTATGTTTGGCAGCCTTACACAATACTTATCTCACATGGGAATGAGACCATATAATGGGTTTACTCATTCAGATGCTGGATATGTTTGCATTTTATTAGAGAATTGGGCAAAATAAGAAAGGGAGGATATCATTCTCCTTTGTCCTTTTGTATTCATGATCACATTCCTTTAATTCACTATTCTTTGCATCTTTGAAAATGACTTATCATTTGCATCACCAACTCGGATAGCTTATTCATCAATACCCTTCCTTCATTTAATCACCATTAAGAAACCCTAATTTATACGTACTAATGCATGACAATATTATCCGTTTTACACTCTATTGATACTCATAATTTTGTTCAAAATGCATCTATAGTGTTAAAGAGTGCTCACACATATATCAAGAAATTCTTCCCTCCATAGATGTCACACACTGTCAAATCAATTATGAAAATTTTTGCCAGGACAATAACTTAAAAAACTTTGGAATAATATTTTAAATTCCATGCTCAAATTGATCAAAACACATTAAATATATATAGTATAAACTAATCATGATTATTGCCTACAAACATCCAATGGCCGAGGTAAACTTTCTAGTAACACTACTTCCAACATATTGAATCTTTTGGATTAAAGCAACATTGTAGGGTATTCATTATTGATGATTGAGCCTTGTTATCATTTCACTTCAACGTACCCTATTTTTGTTTGTTGCCCTTCATGACTAGTAAATTCTGTAGATGTTTCTGCTAATTTATATATGAAAATGATTAGAATTGGATGTTAATAATCACTTGAGATCGCACTGTTGGGGCAAAATCATGATGGGATCGAAAGATAATTGTTAGTCTAGTGTGCCTTGCCAAAAAGTGAAAATGTTGTGAGAATGAATAAAGGCTTTATAAATGCCATTTGAAATACATGAGTCAGAGACACCATCATAGGTAAGATATGGACGACTAGATAGTGCATGAATTAGACATGCCATGCCCATTGATATGCATGTTGAATGAAAATGTACCATCCAATAAAATCGTCTCACCTATGTAAAAAAACTACTCTTCACAAATTTGTTATGGTACAATTTTTACTGAGTAAGGAGTACCAATAAGGTGGTATATTTCTTGAGTTAGGCAGCTTGGTCCCGATCCGGCCATCGCTTTCAAATGCCACTTGATGACGATAGATTGGCCATTAGTGCGGATGAAGATTAGTCTTGGAAACCATAAGGGTACAATGGCACAAAAGGAGACAGTGGCAATTGAGGTGTTAGGTGTCACACCTTTTAGCAGTAAAATCATTGTTGAAAAAGGGAATTTTAGAGGGTTAGTTCATGGTTCTACAAAGGGATTGGTATTTTAGAGGTGTGATGGGAAGATGAGAAGCAAATTCTTCACCTAGACATCATATTGTTGGCCATCAACTAATGGACTACCAAGAAAGGCCTCTTTTAAGTCATTGAAATGATAATGCATGAATATGAACTCACATAAATTTCCCACTCAAACAACCATCCTATTTCACACACACACACACACACATGATAAGGGTGTATCAGTCATTATAGCAAAATAGATATGGGCTGATTGAGTAATATAAGAAAGTGGAAGGGGGTGAGCTTTCAAAATGAAGGGAATAGCTTAGAGGATGCGTAGGATAAGGGACCAATGTATCGGGGCGAGGAGAGAGGGCAAAAGGGTGGTGCGAGTCGCATGTGAAGGTGTACACATTAGCACTGCGCGTTCGACAAAAAGGTGTTCAGTAATATAAAAAGGAAAGGTTCAAACACGCACAATAGTCATTTAGCCATTTTTTTTTTTTTTTTTTCTCTCTCTGTCGGTAATTCTAAACTTTTGTTTCAGAACGTACAATCTAATGCTCTCTCTCTATTCCAGTGATTTGGGGAGCGAAATTCTCCGAATAAATGGCGGCAAATGCAGTTCAGATCGTAATAGTGTAAGCAGCGAAGAGAGAGAAAAAGAATCGTTACTTCTCTCTCTAGAATGAATTACACCATGGAAGTTGTTAACTGGATACTTATTATTGAATATTCATCTCAAGAATTTGATTTCTGTCACTAAATTATCTGTTACTCCATTCGTTGCCTTTTCTAATATCAAGATTTATCGTTAAGGCCTTTCTAAGGACTCTTGAATTAAAGGATTTTGGTTCTACGGACACTAATGAAGAATTTCTTGAAGAGAGTAGTTTATGCGGAGATTCTTGGCGTCGAGTTGTTGCATTTGATTAATTCTTTGTTTTAGTGAGTTCTTTGAAGGTTGTAGGTTGGTTTAGGAATTAGGGTTTTAGGTGTGGGGTGAGGATGGGAATGGATGGCCTGATGCTCCTGACGGAGGGACCACCGATAAAGCGGCGAGCAGGGTTGCGAAGGAAACAAGCTGGAAGAGGATCTTATAGAGGCAGCTAGGGCATAATTAGGGTTTGTCTGAGGTTTAATTGATTAACCTGGTCAGGTAAGAGTTAGGGAGGGTTTATTAGAATCTTTTGACCGGAGGAGATGGGTACTCAGTTGCACCAAGCACTCAGGACCCTCTGTTCCAACACTGAGTGGAACTACGCCGTGTTTTGGAAACTCAAACATCGAGCTCGAATGTAAGTTCAATTGTATTTCTTACACTTACCTTTTCCTTTCTAATCCATATTATGCCTGATTTAATTTTTCGAATTTTGAGTTAGGCTAGAATTCATGTAATCTTGATTTTTAGGAATATATTGGTATTCTAGTGGTTTTCATTTGAGAAGATGTCTTTAAATTAGGTCTGAAATTTGAATATTTTATATTTGGACTGCGGAAGTTCAAAGCCGTAGTGTTATTGATCATTGAAAGTTAGGTTAGTTGTTTTTGGAATCTCTCTGTCTTTTCTAACTGATTTCTTCTTTGGTTTGGATTCTGATAGGTCTTCAAGCCATTCAAGTATAGCCTCCTCAAACTTATCACAAATTCATTTTTTTTTTTCTAATTTATTTCTTTGCTTTTAATGCATCACAAATTTGATGAAGTAAACTCAGTCTTCTAAATGCTTACAAAACAGTTGTTGTGTCTTATGATCTATCCATTGAATCTGGAATAATTAGTCCATGATAAACTCTTAATCTTTTTAGAAAATCGGCAAAAATAATCTCAGTATGATTGTTCTTGTCATGAAAAATGTTCATTGTGATGTAATATTAGCCAAATATTTATATATGTTAAAAATACCTAGTGTCAGTTTTCTCTTATTTATAGTTGTGCGAAACTATTCAGGTTAGTAGTTAATTTTTTCCTGAATATAAATACTATATATATACACATTTATATGTTCTAGACACACGTGTATATGTCCTCTTCATTGATTTTGGGATTGTGAAACTTCTTGTAGGATGTTGACTTGGGAGGATGCGTACTATGACTATCATGAGCAACATGATCCTTCCAAGAACAAGTTCTACAGTGACATAGTGGGCAACTTCCAAAATGGGCATTATTCACATGACCCTCTTGGGTTAGCTGTGGCAAAGATGTCATATCATGTATACTCTCTTGGAGAAGGGTATTGACATCTATCATCTCTATAATTTACCAAGTCATTCAGAATTTCACATGCCATGGTACAATAGTTTAGCATGGACCATGCTCATTGGTCTGGCAGAAGTTTTCACAAGAAATCATCATGTCATGTTAAATTACCCTATAAATATGGGTGCTATTCCTTAAATGCATGCTTCATGTCACTTTCTTTACCTTTTTTACCACGTTTCCCGTGTCAATTTTGACCTCAGCTTATTCTTGTGGGCATAAGACCTTCCTGCATGTGCTATCTTAGTTTTGATATCTGTAAAAATGCAAAATCAGGCTGTGAGGAATAAAAACTTTATTTAATTTAAAATATATATATATATATATGAAAGAAAGTTGATTGCGTCCTCCTTTGCTGAACAGGATTGTTGGACAGGTAGCAGTTACTGGAAAGTACCTATGGATTTTTGCAGATACACATGCAATTGACCCCTCTTCATCATATAACGTGAGTTTTACTTTTACATGCAAGAATTCCGTACAACAGATACGATATACCATGTTGAATAGATCACCATTCTAACTGTTTCTGCTGTACCAAAGTATTTAATATTTTAACTTGTCATTTCTCCTTATTTGGTAATATTGATGGTTCTCAGTACTGCGATGGGTGGCAAACTCAGTTTTCAGCCGGGATAAGGGTATGCCTGCTATCCTTTCCTTTTTAAAACTTAATAGATGCTGTTGTGATAATTGCTGCAATGATGACAAAATATTAGGGGGTTTTGTCACTAGCAGTAGTGCTGAAGGTTTTCGAATCTGTAGTGCACTTCCCTTCTCGAAACAGTAATAGTCTAATTGATCTCATCTCTCATTATTAAACAAGGTAGTATGTTTGGTGGTTATGGGACGGTAATGTGGTTTTGTTATCTCTTTTCATAATCTCTTGCTGTTTTATATTGATAAGTCTCAATAATTTGAAGATACTGAGCTTGGTAACTGAAACATTGGTGTTGTGATACTGCAAAATTTAGCATGCTATTATTTATATTGATGAGTCTCAATAATTTGAAGATACTGAGCTTGGTAACTCAAACATTGGTGTTGTGATACTGCAAAATGTAGCATGCTATTATTTAGTTCTTTTTAACCATTGAAAAACGAGGTTGGATTCTGCATTGGACTTGCAGAGGTGGCATAGAACAAGCTGATGAAGCTGCTTAATCTGGACTATGATAACCTCCAGTACCATGGCTGTCATGGGATATTAAATTTTAATTGTTTTCACCTAGAATTCAACTTAATTGTTTGTTCTTTTCAAATATATGACCAACTGAGTTCCTTTAGACTGCACTGAGCTTGTGGGAATCATCTTGACCCCTTGAAATTATGACTATCGAAGCTCAGTGAACTCTTTGGTGACAGAATTACCATACCAGCAAATGCCTTAACAAATTATTGATAGAGTCATGTTGGGAGGAGTGATGAGCCATCATGACTGCCACGAGGAATCAACCAATCTCTGGTAAATTTATATCATAGATGTGTACTTCAGCTTGTGATTTGGGTGCTTTGGTCCACTTTTATAGCTGACTGACTTATTCATCATCCACAATTTGTAGCATACAGGTCTGATTATATCATTAAGTTCTTTTGTAGGAAATGTTTATGTTTGTCACTTCAAATAATGAATATGATAATTGCTTATTGCTGTCTAAACATGTTAAAAGTTTCTATTGAGGGTGAAATGGAACCCATTTCTCTACGTACAATTTGTTTTGGCTCCCTTATAATGCTTCTAATTTCAGAGTGATAATCTTTTTCCATTTTCTGTTTTGCAGACTGTTGTTGTGGTTGCTGTTGTTCCACATGGAGTTGTACAGCTTGGCTCTTTAAATAAAGTAAAGAAAGTTTCTAAGTTTGGTGCATATTCAGTTCCATGCATGATATTTATTCTAAGCTTGATCATTCTGTTTAAGATGATAAAATTTCTACTTTCATTTTTCCTTTCTTGATTTTGAGATAGTGACATGTACTTTTCGAAAATGAATAAATTAATAAAACACTTGATGCACTTTTCTGTCCTATTTCATGTGATCTCTTCTTCGGTTATCTTATTGTGTTGATAGATTACTAATTTGTTTTTTACCTTTTATTTATTATTCATTTGTATAATTATTTGAAGTGTGTATAAGATTGTGTTACAGTAACACCCATTAATTTTCAAGTTTAGAATTAAAATACAGCATCAGCATACGTCAATTTGCGGATTTGGATTCAACTTTTTCAAGTATTTGGAACTTGGTTTGAGATACCCTTCCCGAAGTCAATGGGCCGATTTATCTTTTCTGCAACCAATTAACTTATAAGAGACATGCATCCATTTGATCATTGCCACAAGAGTGAATGATTACTATGTACACGTGAAAAACTTGTTGAAAAATGGAACCTAATGACTTCCAAATGGGAACCCACCGACCCATGTGAATATTACCCGGCTCTAGATCTTTCTAGGGCTCTGATGTTATGCATATGTTTGGTATTATGTGTGCATATTTATGGTTGTGTTCATTTCTAACTTTTTCCTTTCTTTTCATGCCATACATTTATCAACATTTGCATTTTAGCCACTCTTGTTTTACGAGTACGCTATTTCATAGCAGAATGTTGAGTGGATAAAAATAACATGAAACAACATAGTCATTAAATGAGTGTTTGAAAGACAAATATTGAGATGGATGCTTGATAAATCAAGAATGAATAAAATTAGAAATGAACACATTTGTGAAAGAATTGATGTAGTGTCCATTGGAGATAAAATGAGGCTAAAATAATTAAGATGGCTGGCGTTGTGCAGCAAAGACAAATAATTGCACTAGTAAGGAAGAATGATGTGGTTCATATTGATGCCACAAGTAATTCTAAAGGTAGGGGTAGACGAGAATTAATATGGGCTGAAATGACAAGGGAAAAAACAATTACACAAAGTTTGATTGAGATAATAGCCTTAGAAAGAGCAGAATGGCAAAGAAGGATTCATGAAACTGAGCCTTAAGTTGTGGGAGTAGACTTTGTAGAGTTGAGTTGAATACTGTCTGATATGTAATAGAAATGATTATTGTTACAATACTTCTCTTTATGTTCGGTTAAGTTAATATAAAAAGTGAAGAATTTTAACAGATCTAAGTCACATGTATGGAACACACTCACATGCTGCTCCAGAATTGGTTTTATTTCAAGTATCTTGTCATCCATTGACCATTAGTAAAGTTTCTGCTCAGTTATCTGATGTGAGATTTTTGACTAATTTGATGATTCTTTTGTTGCACATTTCAAATTGATGACTTGCATATATGGTCATTCTTCATTCCTCTTTTGCATGTGTATAAAACATCCAATTATTTATTATACACTTTCTGCTTTGTCTTATGCAAGATTTCCTTGTAGTTTGATGAAACTTTGGTTATATTTTCTTTACTGCATACATCAGCTTGGTTATGATCGGAAGGTGACATGTGTATCACATGTTCATGATTTTAAGTCATGACGTACTCTTTATTCACACCTAATTTACTTTCTTTTTCCTTAATTTGAGAGGAGCAGGTCAGTGAGGATTTGAAGCTGGTGAACCGTATCAGAGAGATCTTTTATGCGTTTCAAGATTCCTCAGTGGAGTGCATCCCCAGTGTAGTACAATATAGTATGGCGAGTTCTTCATGTCTGGTACTCTCTTTCTTACACACAAACATGGGAGTGCTTTCATGAAATCACTACATGTAAGCATCTCATGGTTCTTCAATTTTTTTTTTTTCAGTCAGCAATATCTACAAGAAGTTCAAGTTCTGGGATTGTTAGTGATTGCATCCACAATCTAGATAGAACTATGAACAAGGAGAAGACAAATATTTGGTCTCCCGTGTTTCCATCTCTTGAAAAATCTGAGGACCGTTCTTATCCGTTGCCTGGTGCTTATCTGAAAAAGACAGTTGAAATGATCGATAAACACGGAGGACATGAATTATCAACGCCAGAGGATCATGAAAGTGCCAACTTACTTCAGTCTAGATCTGATCTTTTCCTTGTGGAGTGGCAGAAACAAGAACAGACAAACTTGATTGTTGATAAAAAGTTTGAAGAGAAGACTAGTGGCTTTAGGGATAGAGGATTGGGTTCAGAAGACACTGATACTTCAATTTTGCACAATTGTTATAATAATGGTACTGGTTTATATAATGTTACCGTTCCTTCTGATAACTTATATAATGTTACCGTTCCTTCTGATAACTTGGGGGTAGATATTATGCACTTCCCCTCGGACCTCCCTAACTCTGCAGCTTGGGATAATCATAATGGTGTGTTGTGCATGCCAGAACCTTTTGATATGCAAATTCAAAAAGATTTGATGAAGAACTTTGAGAACCAAACAGAGTTCAATCATGTGGACACATTGAACACATCCTTCAAGTTCTCTGCTGGCTGTGAGCTGTATGAAGCACTAGGGCCAGCTTTTCGAACACAGAATATGTATGGTGATTGTGAGATGGGAAAAACAGAAACAGAAACCACTATTGACGTGCCAAGCAGACTGAGCAGTAATAACCTGTTGATGACAGACTCTGGCTCGGAGCATCTATTAGAAGCAGTGGTAGCTAATGTTTGCAGTAGTGGTACTGATGTTGAAAGTGGGAACTCATTCTGTAAATCAGGGCAATCCCTGTTATCGACTGAAAAGATGTCAGATCCATCCAATGGTCAGCATGCCATTGGTTCAACAAATTGTTCGTTTGAGTGGTCTCTTGCAGAAGAGGACAAGGTTCACTGCTTGAACTCCTCAAAGACATGTGCGAGGTCTACTAAAGGCTTTTCATCCACAAGTCCTAGTACATGTAGTCAACAGTCGGAGAGGCCACAAGAACCAGCTAAGATCAATAAAAAAAGGGTGAGATCTGGTGAAAATTGTAGGCCCAGGCCAAGGGACAGACAATTGATCCAAGATCGAATTAAGGAGTTGCGAGAGCTTGTGCCCAATGGATCAAAGGTAATTTCTACAGATTATCCTGCTGAGTATTATTTTATTTTTTACTTTTTATATCTATATATTTTATATGTGCTGAAAATTCTGGATAATACACAGTGCAGTATTGATTCACTTTTAGAGCAAACAATCAAGCACATGCTCTTTCTGCAAAGCATCACTAGGCATGCAGACAAGCTAAATGAATGCGCTGAATCGAAGGTAAGGCTTTGGCATCTATTTTTGGGGTCCTGTTATTTCAGCTGAACATGGGTTGAGTTAGGTGGATATGACGTTAGTCAAGTTCCATCTTACATAAAGAGGCTGTTTTTTACTGGGTAAATAGAAAAAAGATAAAATAAAATCAGTATAAAATGTCAGGTTGAAAGATTTGAGTATTACTAGTAACCTGACAATTATTTTACTCCCTCCAATTTTATTACTTGTATATATACAAGTTGTGTTTATTCAGGTATCAAGTGTCAGTATGTAAATACTTTATATTTCTTTTTGAGAGTCTCTTCTGAAACAATATGTTTAGACCGAAATAGATATTTGAATTTTGTTCATGGTTAGTCTCCATCAATTAGAAATAATAATTGGATTTGTTGCCTTCAATTCATTATCATCCTTGCCTTTGTTCCATATGGATAGGACCAGCCACATGATTTCACTTTTCCCATCCATTCTTATTATATACCATGTGGTTGCTTACTTTTTAATCAAACAACTTTTCTTTTTCTTTTTTCTTTCTAACCAGTGCATCTCCAAATCTATGTTGTATATGACCATACCTAAATTTTCTCTCTCTAATTTTATCATTAATGGGCGTTATTCCTAGTTTTCCAGTCAATTTTTTAATTATTAATCTTATCTCTTCTAATTTTCGGGGGGAAAAAAATCTTATCTCTTCTAGTAACTCCAACCATCCATCCTAGAACCCTCATTTCCGCTACTTGAATTTGTTTTTTTTTTTTTTTTTTGTTCCTTTTTCCGTGCCCAAGACTTTGCTCCATACAATATAGTTGGCTTAATAACCTTTCTATAGAATTTTACTTTTAATTTGTTTGATATTCATTTATTACAAAGGATAGATCTAGCTCGCCTCCATTTTGCCCATCCTGCTCTACTTTACTACATGACCATCTATCACCCTATCTTTTTGTAAGATTGACCCTAAATAACGGAAGTAATTATTTTGAGTAATTCATTTTTATATCCTCATTTTTTCTACTTTATCAAATTTACATTTCATATGCTTTGATCTAGTTTCTAACTTTGTTGTTAAGGCTTCCTTAATAATATTTAATAAAACTATCTCATCAGAATACAACATACACCACAGAATGTTTTCTTGGATTTTTAATTATTTCATAAAAACACTATTGTAAAAAGGTATGGACTTAACACTGATCCTTGGTGTAATCCTACTTTTATAGAGAATTCACTAGTTCCTCCACAGATAGCATGAACTCTAGTCAATGTCTCACTATGCATATCCTAAATAATAGTTCTAACTTTTGCAAGGACTTGTTTTCTTTGTAGAGTCTACCAAATTATGTCCTTTTAACACTCCATATGTCTTCTCTAGGTTTATGAAAACTACGTGTAAATCTTTTTGCTTACTCCTTCATTCTTCCATTAATTGTCTAATAAAGTGCATGGCTTCCATGGCAGATCTACCTGGTATAAATCCAAATTATTTTTAGGATATTGAGGTTTCTTTCCTTGGTCTTTGTTCTATTATTCTTTTCCATAGTTTCATTGTATGACTCATTAATTTAATTTCTCTATGATTTTCACAATTTTGGATATCTCCTTTATTTTTATAAATTGATAGTATAGTGCTTTTCCTCCATTCGCTTGGTATTCTTTCTTCTATTAGAATTTTGTTAAACAACTTTGTTAACTATTCACTTCCTATTTCTTGCCCTCAATTGTGATTCTACTTAAAATTTACATCATATTGTTGATTCTGCAGTTGTGTGACAAGGGAACAGGTATACGTGGATTGTCCAGTTGTGAGCAGGGTTCTAGCTGGGCCGTGGAAGTGGGGAGTCACCTGAAAGTTTGTCCAATAATGGTAGAAAATATTAACATGGATGGACAGATGCTGATAGAGGTATGAACTTGTCAATCAAATTTAATGATATGCATACTTTTGGGTTTTGGCTAATGAGAAATGAGAATATGGCAATAATCTCAAAGATGGGTAAAGCTCTTCAAAAAAAAAATAGAGAAAAAAGGATCCTCAAAATAAAAATAGAGAGAAGGAATTGAAATGCCATCTAAAGGAGATGAGGCATCCTTAAATTGAAGACCCCCTCTTGCTTCTGATTCTAAATACTACAAATTTTCTGCTTCATGCATGCAGATGTTGTGTGAGGACTGTAGCCATTTTCTTGAGGTAGCAGAAGCTGTCAGAAGCTTGGGTCTGATAATTTTGAAAGGTGTAACCGAGACCTATGGTGAGAAGACTTGGATGTGTTTTATTGTTGAGGTATAGTCCTAATTGTGGATTAGATATCTAGCTTTATAGGAACCATACATGTTCTAGTCCTAGATATGATGTGGCATCTATAATGAGGAACGCAATTAACATGGTATTATTATTTCTGCTGCTGTTGTGCTCATCATCCTCTTTGATTTATTATTATCCTCTTTGATCTGCATGACGTAGATAAGAAAATAGAAAAGCTGTGATGATTGTTTGAGACAAGAAAATAGAAATTGTAATATATGAAGTCATTTTGCTTGTAATCAGTTTAATGGTTTATATTATTTTCATGGATATTAGAATCAGAATGCAGAGGCCATTTTGTTCCTGACTGATTCCTGTGGCATCCTACTAAATTACTGCTGATTATGAAATGTACAGACTGATTCCAAACATGCCTTTTCTTCTGACAAAAGCAAAAAAGGAAAAATCTTCTTCAAACACGAATTAGACTCAATTTTTGAAAATAATTGAGGCATTTGATTTGATACTTGAAAATTCTAATTGTGTTAGCAAATATTAGTTTCATGACATGACTAATGTAATCCAGACCAGCTACTACAAACTTCTTGATGGTAGATTTTTGCGAATCCTTTCTGTTCCTTCATAAAAAATTACTTTTAATTTGATAATTCTTGCAGGGACAGAACAACAGAAGCGTGCATCGGATGGACATATTGTGGTCACTTGTGCAGATATTACAACCCAAGACAAAAATTTAAGGGCGATGGCTTTTGGTAGTTGTGAATAAATTTGAATAGAATAACATTTCAGGAGCTGAAAGACAGTGCAAATACTGCAACTACGTTTCTGATGGCTATATTGTTGTGCAACTCCTAGAGACAGTAATTTTGTCTCATTTTTATTATATCGTGAGTCCTTTGTGATCTTTAATTGGAATTTCTGGTTTATGTTTTTTTGTTTTTGCAGACTGATAACTGGTGTAAAGAGTTGCCATCTGTCTTATCTGCTACGAAGTATGTAGAAGTGGATTCTTGTTATCTTTTCTTATTTTTCATGGTTTTTAGCTTGCTTGTTACTTGCCTCCATTGTTTGTTAAGATGTTTGATAGTCCAAATAATGTAGTTCCTTCACCCTAATCTGTGTCTGTGTTGGGACCCTCTTTCTGGTACTTCATCTTTTGGATATATACATACTTTACATACAGAATCTTAGTGATACTTCAATGAAACAAGCTTTTTGAAGATTGACTAGTACTGAAGGGGGTAGTCATGAATTTATTTGCCATATTACATGCTGATACGGTTCTATAGTATTTCTAAGAGCAAACTGAGAAGCTGTTGTAATGTCGGATATATCTATTAGTAACATGGTCTCATTGTAACCTAAAGTGAGGGAGAGCTGAAGTACCATCTTGTCCTTTGGAACTGTAGTAAGTGTGATATTCTCCATGACTAGTTTCCCTGTATAGAGGTGGATTGTTGTCGGAAATGAACTCCTTTATTGGCCCGCATGGTTTGAATTTGTTGGCAGTACTTGGATAAAAGAAACACGCTGATGATATCCGTGGGCCGACTTGTCCTGCCAGTACTCTGTGCTCCACACTTTTGAACTTGTCGTTGGTGATTAGCTACATAAATGAAGGAATAAAAATTAGATTTTGATATAGGAATTTTGAAACCTTTTTTAGTGCAGAGTAATCAAAGACTTCACCTGCATAAGATCTCCGATGTTTGCTATTAGGGCTCCTTCAATAGGGACCACCTCAACCCAAGTATTTTGATGGAGTACTTGGAGGCCACCAATGTTGTCTTGCAGGAGTATAGTTAGGTAGGATGGGTCTGAATGCTTGGTGGTACCTATAGTCAAGTCTGGCTCAGGGCAGAAGGGGTAATAGTGGCACACTAACGCAGCAGTTTTCATGCAATCAATGCTTGTAAGGAAATCACTGCTAAGTCCTAGTGCCTGTGATAGTAACATACACAGTGTCTCCTTCAATCCAACCATGTGTTCCATGTAATCACCTATTGATTTTCTGCAACTCATAACTTGATTGAGTTAAAATAAATCCCATTAATAAGAATTCAAGAAATGCTTAGCAGTTAGGTAGTGTGTTACCTGCAAACCAGAGGTAATGCATCAGATTCCAGCACAGAGTCGTGGAAATGACAAACAATAGAGTCCCTCCAATTTGCAGCTTTTGATATGTGAAGATCACCGTTGCAGTAATACCTTACTCTTTGCCTAGAGTCACGCGAGTACCACTTCATCTTCAGCTCATTAGGTTGCTCATGGAATCGGCGCACACCTTCTATCAAGTCTTTCATGACACTAAGTGGGATTCCATGATTGACCATTTGAAAGAAGCCCCATGTTTCTGCTGCTTTACAAATATCCTTGACAATCTCCATCCTTCGGCCACTTTCTAAGTCTTTGAGATCTATCAGAGGAACTTGGAGGTGAATGCCGCTCGTGTCTGGTGATGCCTTTTCAAGGTTTTGCGGTGGATGGATGAACATTCTGGGGATCTTGACTACACCAGAATCCAAGAGTCCTTTAACTCCAGCTTTTGTTTCGTCGAACTCCTTCACTTCTTTTGCTCTATCATATACTGGCCGGTTAGGGGCGGCAACTTGGGGAGTGTCGGGCATGACTTCCATCTGGTGGTGGTGAAGAGAGAAATGTGCCACGGTTAAGCACTTAATCTTGGTTCCAGAAGAGTGCAAGAAACAATGGGCTAGCTACCCTGATAATCAGTGCAAAAAGAGAAGCAAGTTGGACAAAAGGCCAAGATAGTGAGATCCCCCACTTTGGCCCCTTCCCTAACTATAGAAAAAGTCTGCTACACTTGCACCAGTATCTGACTTTTTCTGGGTGACTACCTTGGATTCACACATATGCTTAACTTAGTTGTACATGGTTGTATACAATATAACCATATATATATATATATATATATATATATAACTGATAAAATAAAGATGGAGAGTTGATCTTAGAGTTGACGTCATAATGCTATCAGAAATATTAATGACATCAAGACGATATCAACTCTCACTCACATAATTACATAAATTAGTTGGAGTTGACTGACCATTGGACTCTTAGTCATTTTTCTTATAGTTAATGACTTTGACATGCGTTGAACCAACCTCGAACCTTGGCCTTTCGATATAGGGTTGAATCGATAATGACTTCCATTGCACAATTTTATGGATATAATATCCAATTTAATGTTAAATTGAGCGGACTGACCATGGATACTTAAGAGGCCTCAAGTAAATGAAATCATTCCATTTTGAATTGTACATGGTCAAAAGCACACATTTGCTTGTCGGACGGAATAAAGTGACTGCAAAGGATGGACACCAACCAAATTGGTGACAGAATATGTAAAAGATGATACGTTTTTGGACTAACCACCCATTTGTGAATTATATTTATTTCAAATTCTTTACTAAAATAAAATCTAATTAATACTTGAGATTAATTTTACTAAGAATTAGAATAGTTTTATTTTTGTTTGGCAAGCATGGATTTATAAGACACAAAATCAGCAACAACATCTATATGAATGATATAATGTAGGTTTTACCCAGATGGAGCTTTATGGAGTTTTGGGTATTAAGTAGTTGCGAAAACTTTAAAAAGTCAATATTTTGATTTATTTTCTCCTTCTATGAGATTTCAGACTGATAATTTCAACCTTTAAACATTATACAAACGTGTGAACTCAGTTAAAATGGTGAAACTGACTTGTTTCTTCAGTTATATAAATATATTAGTAAAAGACATTGAAAACTAGGTCCTCTGGGATCATTAAACAAACAAACTGAGACCAAAGATCATAATCTTCATATGTAAGCATGCAATTTTAAAATCACATTTGAAGAGTGAAGATTATGGTGTTCAGAATAATGAAAAAGATGCCCCTTGGTCAGTACCTACCAACAAAATCATTTATGATGATCTTCTGAAACAATACAATAATATTATATATATATATATATATATATAGATAGATAGATACACACACAATAACATATAGAAGCAATCATGGCATGAAGTTAATACATGTAAATATCAACACAAATGGAGACATCATTTACTTTACCTCAATTATAGACTTGTTAAGAATGAGTAGTGATAGAGAAGCAAAGCAAGACTTGATTGTTATCCAGCAACTATGAACTATATATAGCTAGCTAGGACAGGTTATGAAGGGGCTTCAATTTGGTTTGGTAAGCATCCATTAATTGAAACGAAAAAGAAAGTAGAGGAATCTCTAGTGAGTGCCACCCAGATGTTGAATTGCTTAAACATATATATGTAAAAGATATGTATATGTGATAATATAGTTTATAGTTTATTTTATGCTTTTATCTTTGAATAAATGCTGTTGGTCTTCTACTCAATCCGGGAAATTTTGTCTTGGTTATTGAGGAGGCGTTAGCTAAAAGATAAAATATCAGAGTGTGATAATGACAAAACAAAAATTTTAATCTCAAAAGAGTTACAGTGAGATAATGAGAAAGCAAAAACTACAAACTTAAAAGAGTTATAATATTTCTCTCAATTCAAATGACTTTTCTTTCGGATTGCATCTATATAGACTATATTTATAGTTGGTCCTGCTGGAAATTACAGAACTACAATTGATTTCTTCACTATATATATATATATATATATATATATTTTGTCTGCAATAAAGCGTAGAACCATGTTTTCTTCATTCTCCAATGTCACACTATTTCTCTATCGTCTCCGCAAAATTCGGTTTCTTCCTCTTTCTTCTTTATTGGTGCTGCACACTATTCTTGCACCCATGCACACTGTTTTGAACTATTCATTATCACACCTCCTACACTTTCTCTGTTTACACCATTATCACATTTATGATGTAGACTTTTTTAATTTTTTTATTATTATTATTTTTTTTACAGGCAAAAAAAGTTAGAAGTTAGATTAGTTGGTGTAAAGAGTCAAAACCTGACACTCTTAAAATTTACCGGAGACACTAACCACTGGGTTATCGAAACATCACATGTCTCACCTTAATTATTACACACATATATATATATGGGAAAAGTATCATATTAAGATACATTAATTAGTTTCACATATTGTCACATATACATATTTTTTCTTGTTTACTCTGTATCATCAACTGTCATTCAGGCTTCTTTTATGTGTTAAGAATCACATGTGATCTTCAATTGAAATTTCTGGATTTTTATTTTTCTTAGCAGTTTTTCCAATTATTTTTACAAGTGCAGTGTGGTCCCCATTAATGGAGTGGAGTGGTCTCTGTTTCGGAGCAAGAAGTAATTGTCTCAGAAAAGTGTAATGTATGTATGTATATTTTATTCCCTGATTCACTAATTGCAAAATGAAATCTTAATGCAATTATTATACCCAATTAAACAAGATAAACTAGATATGTAGACACACATGTATACGTAATCTTAAGTTTCCAGGATATAATTAATAGTAAAAGTTAATGTCAACAAGATATATATTAAATGTTGATCATTACTGTATTTTCTGATCACCTTAATTTCCTAAGGTCTGTGTTGTCAATACGTTCTTCTTGTTTATATATATATATATATATATATATATATATATATATATATATATTATCAGTAAAGCTTAATGCTAGAAAATTCAGAATGTAACTATCAGTAACTATTTTAGTATTTGTATATAATATTTGTCAATTCTTTTCATTGGCTTTAGTAATACAAAAATTGTCATTTGGGAGTTTTTTGTAATTAAAGATCTAACAGTTTTTTTATTGAAAGCGATTTTAAATAATTCACAAGAAAACAGAGTGGGAATTTATTTTATTAGAGTATATTTTTGGGTGAATAACAGAGTGGGAATTATAGAAAACAAAGTCTCAATTGCTATGAATTCTGAACTAGTCATTTTAAACCAACAAGTAGTTATGGTAGATGTTATGAAACTCTTTTATTGCACGTGTAACATTGATTGATAAAAGTTATTAGTACTTAACAACATGAACAAAATTAATTGCAACAAACATTGAATTAATTTACCTCATACAGATTTATTAAATTAATCAGCACCAACATTATAAGTTGTAGGCTAGGCTAGATGGATCATAGCTTATAGTGAGGAAAAGATATGTTCCTTTCATCTTGTAATATTGATAATATTCACTGCAGTAGAGGAATTCTCTCTCTCTCTCTCTCTCTCTCTCTCTCTATATATATATATATATATATATATATCGTTGGATTCTCCTCAGTTATAAGCTCCTTTATTGTTCTAAAAAAAAATATGGGAATTTTACAGAAAAGTGGTAGCAACAAAAGTATATTACCAATTTAAGAACGTAATTTGCATATTTACCATATCATGAACCAAAAGTCAAGACTTTCTATTTGAACCGCTTAATAAGAAAAAATTATATTTTCACCCTTAAAGTTTATTTTATGCACAGCTTACCCAAAGAACGACTTGTGGAAGTTCTAAAATTTTGTCAAATAACACTTAGGAACTGTTACATCGCACTAGAATTAGGAGACATAACGCGTAACCTACAACGAAGAATAGAACTTAGATCTAGAATTATTCTAATACAGAATATTTTAGAAACTAGACGGCAAAGATTTTAGCTAGGTTTATGAGTAGAATATAATTTAATAACTTAAATAACTTTATAAAATGATTAGGAGAAAATCTTGATTATATTAAGGAACAAGTAGCATAGAATTCTAGTCCAAATAATTTAGATAATAAGATAATATTAGTCGCCATTAAAGATATATATAGCAATATTAAAAATATTTTTGAAAATCAAAAAATAATTATAGATTATTTAAAATATCTTAAAACTGGTATTCAAAGGCTATTACAATAGTTTTATGAGCACTAGTAATCCTGATTATCTAATAGTTTTAGCCGAACTTAAGAAAATTGACAAAGACCCAGTAAGATTTACAAGTTTTAAAACCCATGTGCAGTCAACTAATATAAATATTAGACAAAACAACTTTTTAATCCAGTTATTACTCCAATTATCTGAAAAAGTTAATAAACTTGAAGAAAAATTAGAAGTAATACAAAAAAAATATTCTTAGAGAATCTTCTAAATAATTATATGAATTATCAAATAAAATAAAGGATTTAAAGGTATCAAGATAGCTATATTTACAAAAGGATATAATATGACAGGACAATTTGAAAACCTATTAATTAATACCTCATTTATGAGAAAAACACTTAATCAATATAATAGGTTTTTCTGGTTATATCAATAGGGCAGTAAAAAACAAAGTCTATGTCTAATAAAATTATGATGGGTATGAAGTTGCCAGTTTGTATAAATCGTAAGAAATAATAATGATATCGAGTTCCTTTGGGTGGACTGTTGTTTCTGAGGTAATTCTGAATGTAAACCCATTCTTTGACATCATCAAACTTAGCTTATTCAAGGATAAGTTCATTAATGTCTTCAGGGAAGAGTCAGTTCATTTTGTAGAAATAGTTCACGTGGCCCTTATCTTGTCTTTTATAATTACTAAACCTTATACTAATTTCTCCGATATTTTTTACATATATCATATTACTTTCGAGAATATTTTTTAATCTACTGTTAAATTTTAATTTATTGTGAAAAAGT